TTTATGCACTAAAATGAAGAACAAACTGAATACTCACATGAAAAATGTCAAATATTCAAGTCTATTTCTTCGGCCTATGAGAGCAAACACACCACTTAACAAACCACTCATATCTATAACAACTATCATCTTGAAATATACCTATACCTGTACAGTATACCTCTGACTTTATACAATATATAGTTAGTTAGTTTGTCAGTCAGTCTGTGGACAGTGACCATTGGAGACAAGGGACTGCAGCAGCATAAGGAGATGGTTTTCATCCAGCTGTTGACTGATGATAATAATGATGATGAAAAATGAAAAGTAAGAGAATGTAACCTGATACAGTATCCCATTTTATGATTAAGAAGAGAGCAAATGATTCATGATGCACAGTACCCAAAAGAAGTATCGTTAGCCATGGGGTCAATGTGATTCGAGGCTTTCTGAACAATGTTACTCAACATGTTTCTGAATGGTTGGTACATGTGCGACCTTTGAGCATGAATGAGTACAGTATGCCCTTCAAATTTGCGGACCTCGATTATTCACGGATGACATCCTGGATGTACCCAAGAATGTCTAAGGGCAGTTTTAAATTTGCTGGCGTTTTTGCAGCAGGACAGGGAGCCATTCGTTCTAGAGACAGTAATTTCCTTTACCTGTATTATATATGAGTATACGTGTGTGCACACACACACACAAATAAATATATAACAATTGGAAAATCCTCTCACAAATAATCAGAAACAAATGTACTAAAAATGTTGAGTGTACCCTCAAGTCCACTCTGTGCTTTATTAATAACAAAGCACGGAGTGGACTTGAGGGTAAACGTGTAATGATTGTTCATCAGACCATAGCTTACAGCCCAGAGAAGAACAACACATATAACAGTAATCTTGATAAACTCACAGGGAAAAGGGAACCAATTGTCCATTGCTTCCCTTTTCCCTGTGTGATTTTATCAAGATTTATCTTATCCACATTTCCATTGTGGATCTACATGAAATATAACAGTAAGTAGATGCACAGGTGTACATCCACGTAAGTTGACCACCCTTCATAATTAAAGTGAGATTAAGATCTGACCCAGCAGAGGTCACGGTCACAATGAAACAGAGTTCTCATCGCTGCGTGATTAATCAAACCAGCGTCATGACCATGTTAACTCAAGCCCAAATCACACCTGTTCAAACACAGCTGTCTCGATACACCCAGATTTGTGTTAATTAGTGATGACATCTGCCGGCCTGACACCGCCAATACAAGGCCGACAGCTCCTTCCCAGCGTCAGACAGACAGGAAGAGACAGGACTCAGAGAAAGACGGAGTCACACTCGTCACAAGTCGAGGTCGGGAGAGGGACTTCCCTCCCCAGCACCGAGTACCCAGCTAGCTGAGTCCAGCACCCGCAGGGACCATTCTCTTCAGCAGCACCTGCAGACAGATTCCCCAGCCGTTGGGGCTTCCTCAGATCACACGTGAGTCATTGTCAGAGCGATCCATAGGGTGAGTTACTTACGGTGGGAAGTGTATCCATTTCATGTTTGTGTCTGAGATTGTGAAATTCTGAGTGAATGAAATTCCGTTAGTACGTACAGTGATATAATGGTGAAATGTCTGCTTGGTCTGTCTGTCTTAGGATGTTCCAAAACACTTCAATTTAATGTATATTTCAGTGTTATTGTAATCATCAGTCAGTGGCTTGTTTACATATGCCTTGATTCTACCCAGCATGATACATACATTAATACTGTATAGATTAATGGATTTCTTGTTATATTGAAGATATCTAGTATGCCATGCAAGGATGAAGCCCTACCCCTAACTCTAGCTGTTGCTGATATGGCAAGTAGGCACACCAACTTATAATGAAGCACTGGGGATCATTTCAAAACATTTCATCTTGCATTTCAAATTGTAGCACAGGAAAATCTATGGATACTTTCTTGAGGACTCTACATGGCTCATTAATCCTAGTAGCAAAGCTATCTTACCATGCTTTGGAAATGGAGTAATCAGGTTTAAAAGAAAAAGGTGCTCCTTTGATATGAACGATACCAATAAAAGCATGAGTCACTGAGCCTCTGTTTGTTAAATCTAATTGCCTTCATTCCATACATCCAAAAGGCAGGTCATTTGCTCCTATCTCGAACATAAAACAATATTCAGAGTTGAACGCCATTTATGCTCACAAGGTATTGCATATGGTTCAAGATTTATAAAAGCCACCAGATAAAGGGAGGCAGAAAAAGAAGATTGCAAATGCTACAAGTATGAGCACCACAACAAAGAAGCTAAGTTATACTGAGTTAATAACTTGAAACAGGTTCTTGTAGGATACCAAACTCCACAACACACAAAAACAAGACCTCTCTCTTATGAATGTCATAGGAATAATGAGGTAAATAATCATTCTGTTTAGAAAAATGTCTTAAAGACACTAAATTCCCTTTTGTGTCTAGCTTCACTTTCATATAATAGATACAGTAATGTCACTCCCACACTGATAATCTAATGTAATTCATTAGGAGTCACTTCATAAAAATAAGTCAAAGCAACTTGCATTGTGTTAAACAACTGGATGGTTGTCTGGACAACTTTACCTCTTTATGCAGTACTGTATAGGAAAATATATATTATTGAAGAAATATTTATCCATTAATTGTTCCTGAAACCAGCAGGGATGATAAGCCAAATTGTGGAATTTTACCAGTTGTATGTACAGCTGATACAAGAAATGCTGTACGTATCTGACAGGATGGTGTCCTAAACCACATTTTCTGTTGAACTAAATGGCATTAACAATATCACAGAAGCATTTTATCTTTTACAACTGAAGTGTAGAGGGTAAGGATGGAAGAGTAGCTGCCTTGGCAGTGCCCTGCTGATATTTCCAGTGAGTGAAAAGGCAACTTTTTTGGGATTAGTGAGCTGTAACTTGTAAATCATTTGCAGCACTTAATGACCAGAAAATTTACTTTCTTAATCTGCCCATGGGATAGAACTAATGCATAAGACCTCGCACAATACTCAACGGAGTTCAAAAAGTATTGGACACCAAGTGTTCACACATTTCCTGTCCAACTAATTATAGATAACAGAAGTGAACAAAATTAATCCCAGTTTCTATACCCCAACAATTTTATGATCTATGGTGCTGCAAGCAAACCCTAGCATGTAAATAATCGTACTATGTTAGTAGTGCTTGTGTTGAAGTACTATAATTCATTAAAAAGGGTTTTGAGTACATATTTCTTGATTAAAATTTAAATATACGTCATTTGTAGATACTGTACTGCACTCTAAAAAAAAAAAAGCCTGACAAAAATATGGTTAAGTTCGGTACATAACTTAATACTGTACAATGTTTGTGCTTAATTACTGTAACCTTCTTTTTAAAAAAATTCTATTAGCTGAATTCATGTTCTCTGTTTTTTTTATGTAACTTGGCAACAGCTTCTGCCTAGACCATAACACTATAATGGATTTAGTCAAAGTGCATTCACTACAGCACCTGTAATTAAATACACACTGACTTCAGCTTGGCAAACTCAGTGAGAAATTGTTTTCTTGTTTACAGTAAAACTCTATGATCAAACACTTTAAAACTATTGCTTGGACAATACTGTATACAGTAGCCACTAATTATGGAATTATTAGAAATACTGTACTGTACTGTAAAACATAATCTAAAATATACCCTGAGGTTCTTTGTAACCAACACTATAGGTTGACTATGTCTCAATGAAGTGAGACATTAATATATCTTAAAAAAGAGCTGATACATTATAGATGTCAGACTTCAACCGATTCTTGTGCAGTGATTCCCATGGGGGTGGATAAGGAAGAGCTTTGTCCTGGAGGGTCCTACAGAAAGGAGAGAAACCTAGACAAAACATACATATTAAAATGTTTTTTTGGGGGGCAGAAAGCAAAGTTTTCTATTCAAGTCAGAAAATCTGACATGATAAAATAAGTAGATTTTTAATGGTCATACTGTATTCTGAGAGTTGGTTATTAACGTTTTTCACTTTTTCATGTCATTCCTACTAGTGTAGAATTGGCTGGAGTAAGAAAATACAGACCCACCCTGTAACATAAAAATTCTCTTACAGCATTTCCATTCCATGAAATGATCCTAAATACAATATCGATGTCATTTACTCCTGATGCATAACACAACTTAGAATTTCCCATTAGCAACACATCCACCCCTAAAAATCATTGAATGCCAAGCTCTCTGGTCATTCATGGAACTGCTGTTTCCTATATGTCAATCCCTCTAACTTCTGATGTGTATTTTACACAATCTTTCCATCTTCTTCTCGGACTTCCACTCTCCTTTCTATCATCCACCTCTGGCTTATATATTCTTTTTACCACCTTGGTCACCTCTGTCTGACACAGCTAGTCTCACCACCTTCCTTTATAATTTCTTCTTCTTTTTCCTTGAAACTCTTCATTCTATCATGTCCCAAACAGAAACAATCTGAGACCGACCCTCTTACACTCGTATTTCCTTGCACAATTCCACAGTTTATCAAACAAGTACTACCACACATCTTACATCTTACTCTTGCCCTTTCAGACACACCTTACTTTACTTCCTTCACTTGTCACCAGCTTACCGTACCTCTCCTATATCTTCTAGCTTAATTTGCCGCAAAAAAAAAAAAAAAAAAAAAAATCCAAGATTTTCTTCACTCCTCTCATTTCAGTTGTTCTACTTTTATTACTCTGCTGATATCCATATACAGTACTGTACTGTACATTCAGACACACCAGTCATATTTTCAGCTCTCACTTCTTTATGGTAATGCAATAAAAGGTGTGGTAATGGGGTGATAAAAAAACAAAAAAACAAACAGGAACGAGTAGTATTGTAGTTCATAAGGAATTCCTTCCGGCTGCGAAAACTACTGTATATGCACACAGGATGGATATTGTATCCATTTTTATCAGCAATAGAAATGAAGTAAAGAAGGGAAATTAGAAACCAGTATATTACTGACCAGGAGTTTAGACTCTCTCAGTTTAACTTCAGACACCAGGTTATACTTGGCTGCAGTCACTGCCAAGGTGTGTGATGTCTCAGGATCCAGTAGAGAGAAAACAGGCATAATCCATGTGTCATAAAACTTCTCATTTTTGAAGTAGACATTGATGCCTGCAAAAACCACTCCTCCACCAACAGCAACTTTAAAGATATCGGTGATTTTTTTCTGAAAACAAAAAATGATAACATTAGTGTTACCTGTCATCATTATTTAAAAAGTACATTGAAAAGAAAATTTAAGCTACATTTAAAGAGGGAAAAATCCAGAAGGTTGTATGATGAGGATTACTGTAATATGGCACTGTACAGTACAGTACACACATGAGAGCCATCAGTGCTGTGTCCATTAGGGAGAAAAGAGGGAAAATAATCCCCTCAATTGACACCTGGAAGAGTAAAATCTTCCCATCAAACTTGCCATATGAAGTGTAAAAGGTTATTTGCACAAAAACAACAGAAAGCGTTGAAACAAAATTAGTACATATTTTGCAAAATCAGGAGGTCGAGACATTTTGTTTTCATATCGAATGCTTTAATATCAACTCATATGCTACTACACCTAAGTACAATACAGTAATATATTTCAGTAAACCAGGAAGATATTAAGCATTATCCACAATGACAATGCTTTACAGGGAAAGGTACTACATGTAATAAAAACAATGTCACCTGGGTCATGTTAAGACATAAAGTACTGGCACCAAAAATTCCTTCAAGTTAATGTTTAGGTTTTGAAATTCCAGATCCCTTTTCATTTCAGTTTTGTCTGAGGACTGAAATACCCAAGCAGAGACAGCCAACCATAATAAGTCACATTACAAAGGAGTCCACTGGATGCAGGAACACGACCATTCCTTATTCGTTCACCACTTTAATAAAGAACAGCCTATTTGAGAAAGGTATCAATGGAGCCTTAGATTTTTCTTTCATGGATTTCAGTCTAAACACTATTAGTCAATGGTAAGAAAGCTCACCTTTACAATTATAACTAAATACTGGTGCAGTAGACCTTAATTTAACACGAGTGGGATAAAAGTACAGTACTCGGCTAAGTACAGTACAGTATTCATATCTAATACTTGCAGATGCCTGCCCCACTCAAGGTAAAGAAGCCACAAGTAAAAAAAATTGTCAGAGCTAACTTTTTGGGAGCAAAAGTTGTGAACCATTTGAATAATGTTGTGATGCCACTAAGTGCAAACTCATTTAAGACCAGACTTGACCAAAGTTGCCGCACGTTCAGGTGCATTCTAGACCCAGTACAAGCTCAATATTTGCCTACAGTGCATAACAAAGAAATGACTGACCTGCCTACCAGCTTGATTGCCGACCAGTGGCCTAGCCGGGTGAGTAAAGTAAATCCCGTATCTTTCCTCTTCACTATAATTATACAAGACCTGTCAACACTACTTATAACTACACTCCTATCCCAAGTGCTGCAACCCAAGATGTACTCAAAATCAACCAACCATCAAAACATAAAGCACTGGTTAACGAACACCAGTAAGTAATATTTGACCATCAATGCCCCACCACACTTCCACTGCATATGAGAGAAGAGTTTATACAGTATAATGGGTGGATCTGTAATTGCATCAGGTCAGGTCAGTACAGTAACATGTGACCCACTATAGTGAGTCTTTTCTCAGCTGAGAAAAGACGCCCCTACCCCTCCCCAAGAGTTACAGCTGGTTGGCTGTTGCAAACATTGTATGATTTTGTCCTGAAGTAATGATGTATTTCTAAATGAGTTTATTCATAATCGCTGAGATGACCGTTTCTGACGAGAAAGATATTTAGCTAAATTATATACCGTAAAGATACATATATTCATTATTTCAAACATGAGCATGTAGGAAGTTTATCAGAAGTATTATTCATGAATTAACTGTTAAACTCTGGTTGCAAATTCACGCTTTCAAAGGATGCATTTAATATACGTATACTTATTTTTACCCACAATAAGGCGTACTAAGATTAATTATGCATCAGTAATACTACATTATGCAAAATCAACATTTTAAAATATCAGAATCACATTGAAATATTAAACGACCGTCTGCAGAGGCAGGAAAAATATTTTAGTTATTCGCAGTCATATTTCCCGCCTCTACTGACGGTCGTGTAATATTTTAATGTGACTTCGTGACACCAAATACTAGTCGAGGTTAGGTTAGGTCAGGTTAGGTACACGCACTCGATCTATTAACTCAGATTAAATTAAGTTTACTAATTTTTTGTGACTTCGTGACACCAAATACTAGTCGAGAAATGATTGGCAGTCCGATTTATTCATGTAGGACCATCATTTGACTTCATTCCGGCTATATTTGGGTAATTAGTCGGACCCGCCGATTAATGGTGAAGAGGATAAAAGTATAAGTTTTGTTTTCTTTTCCCCTACATAAAGAGAAATATGAAATTCCTTGTTAGTCCTAAAACGAATCCTTACCCCACAAATAAAAAAATCTAATTATGTCCTCTACTGTAAATTACATACTTTTAACCATTCCAGGATCTGCTTTCATATGAATAAGCAGAACTACAATCGTAATTAGCATTTAATGGTTAGTTTGCAATTATATTGGTCAAATATCCTTCCCGTTTACCAAGTTAGTATGTCTGCACTGTCTACATACTGAACTATTCTTATTGTGAAATTGCATTATGAAATAGTAAATAAATTACACTTATCATAAAGACCTAATGCCAGAACACACTACGTATATGTTATTAATTACCACTACTTGTTTTACCTCACCTTAAACACCTTATTGGTGAAGAGTCTGCTTGTGAGCCCCATCATCCTTCACAGTACTACCTGCTAAGTGTAGTTTCACTGCTTGTTAATGAAGCCAATTCAGCTCCACTCAGGGACACAACCGGCGCTGGCGTTTATTCCTCAACTCTAAGACGTCATTTTTCATCACGTTTTCATTAGGTATTAGTGGACATAAAAAAGAATGAATTTTAGGTATAACTATTGTAATGTCTAGGCAAAATATAAACATGCACATACAAAAACCCTACAATCATATAATATTATAACATAACATGGGAACATTAAACACTAATTAAACAAAAAATATCAAATAGAAGTTGGCATCCTCTGATTTGGTGTAAAATTTATACATCCACCCTGGAATTTCACAACCTCAGACAAGGCTATTAATGAATTAATAGAGGGAGTTTGTAGAGCGTGTGGGGGTATGGGATATTTGGGTTCTCACTCAGGATGGGACGGAGAAAGGAAACTCACAATGTGCTCTCTGTATATATGTTGTATTGGATGTACAATGCAGCTTGGTGCTGGGAAGGCAGCATGGTTACAAGCGTGATGTAGAGAGAGCTGGTTGGTGAGGATGCTCAGAGGAGGACAACACATTATGCTTCCAATATCTTCCCAGGCAGTAGCACCTCCCTGTTTGGTAGCTGCCTACTACCTACTTAAACTAACTTAAACTGATTTATTGTATCAGATCCAGGATTATATAGTATACTTTGCTGACTTGACTCATTACACTCTCCTTATAATAGCCCCTGTCTAACAGACACTCGTACTTATATAAATATGGGTTATATACATTAGGTTTATATAACTACATCACCCACGATAATTTTCCATGGGCAGTGAGCTATGATGCACAGACCGTGTGATAGGTATTTTTCACTGGCAAGTCGCATCTCTTAGATGCTAGAGTCAGCCATTAAGAAAGCCGGCTCCCCCCAGTAGACATTCACCTTTCAGCCCAGATCGACGTGTGACATAAAACTATTCTTGATAAGCTCCGTCCATCACTAACACTCACAGCTTATCGTGTTAATTAGGGTGATATCCTAGTTGACTGTGCCTAATTTATAAATAAATGGAGAAAAGACCATTTGGGTTTGTAAACTTAACCCATAAACTTTTTATAAATGTGACTGTGAAGTTACCTCTCATCAGCAAGTCTCAGGTAACCGGAAGTAGTTACATCATTTTTTGTGATTTTCATCACTGATCGACTTGTTAGCTGCTTGGGCAGTGGGTCAAGTCTCTGTTAGGACCGTTACGCACTGTTGGCAAGTACTGGGCATGCACCGGCTCCTGAATGTATCTGAACCTGCTCCAGTGCTGGTTAAGTCTTGTCTTGAAAGAGCTCACACTCGGTGCCGTCACAACACTTTCTGGTAGATTGTTCCAAGAGTTCACAACTCTCACTCTGAAATGTTTGCCCCTACAGTTTTCTGGACTCGCGGCTTCTTCAACCTTGAGCTGTGACCCCTTGTGGGGCTAGCATACGCCAGCTCCAGATATGGACACTCGACTGAGTACTTTGAGTAGTGCCCTTTGAGATGTTCATACACCTCAATTAGGTCTCCCCTTGCCCATTTGTAGTATAAGGTAGGCAATTGCAGGCACTCTAATCTCTCTGGGTAGCTGAGGAGCCGAAGCGCAGGCACCAGTCTGGAAGGCCTTTTTTGGACATTTTCAATCAGCTGACAGTCCCTAGCATATCTCCGGGACCAGGCTGGGTGACAGTTTCGCTTAGCAATCACCAGGAAAAGACGATGGTTGAAACAAGTTTCCATTACATCAAAATTTTTAAGAAAGTATTTGTGCAGACAACACCACTTTTGAAGAACGTTACGATACGACCTTCTTATAAGACCCATTATAATCGGGTAGCAGAATGGGGTTTCGGGGGTGTAACCCAGTGTTGAGACATAGCATATACAGGGGCGGATCCATGAATATCAAAAAGGGGGGTCTAAGAAGTTGTGGGTGGGGGGGCTGCCCCCCGCCAGATTTTGTTGTTGTTTAAATCTGACTAATATTATGGTCATTTTGTGGCCATTTTGAAGCTATATGCACTTGATATTAGGAAATATTCTGAAGTCAATAGTAAGCACTTTTTATTATACAAAAAAAAAACCGCATGAGTACAATACAGTACTGCATTAAAGAAAAAATATTGATTTTTTTGGTAAAAAGGGGGGCCCGGACCCCCAGGATCCGTCCTTGATATACAATGTTTTACTTTTGTTTCTGGTAGATTTATCCTCATTGATTATAAATCAGCAGAGTGAAAAGTTTGGAGCCAATATTTGACTTGAAAGACCATTTTGGTGTCATTTCCTATGTTTTCTGGGTTCAGGACGTAAAAACGTAGGGCCTATAAATAGAATTAGTTTTAATTAACATTCAATTAGTATATTTTGGATATTGTTTTTAGTTGTATTTAGTTTAGTTTACGTTTCTTTGTTTTGTATTTCTTTCATATTAAGTATTGTAATTCTTTCATATTATTAGTATATATACATTATTTCGTATTATGCTTCGGTATATTTAGTATGTATTTTTATACTTGTAACATTTATAAATAAAGTATTGTGTGGTTTTAAATATATAAACACTGATAATAGATCCAATACAGCCAGCTGCGCCAGATAGCATTAACTCTCTCAATATTATTCAACATATTTTTAATTTCAAATAAAAAAATATTATTCGAACCTGTCAGCAGTGCGGCAATGAAAGGGAAAAGTAAAAAGTGCGAAACTGATGTGGAATCATGTGGGATATAAGTCGTAACACCTTTGTCGATCATATGAGGGAGCGACTCTGCTGCTTGTAAATTGATGTAATATAAACAAATAATTGTGCGCATTGATATAGCCGATTCAGTGTGATATAATAGTATATTGAATGGGCATAAGTAATGAGAAGTATTTTGTAAGTGACATTCTTAAAAGTGCATAGCAACAAAATAACCACTTAAACAACCCAACACACACTCCCATACACCTGCAGATCCCCACAGGTAAACTGGTTCCCGTTGTTGTCATACACTGAGACAAAAGATATGCATCGCTGAACTAAAACTCCCATAACTAAAACAGTATATTAAATCACGTAATAGAAACAATGTGGATTTAGTTGGTATAAAATGTTAGCATCAATATAAATAATCAGATAAAATTAGCATTATGCTTACTACAAAGAGAAAGTAGTTTACTTTTAGGGTTTCTATGATAAATTTTTTTTTTTGCCGTTTCATATTAACTTAAACAAATATAAAATCTACGATCGTACGATATTTTTCCTGCGTAGTTGGTCATTAAATCCACCAATGAGAGGCAGTTGATCCGTCGGTCATTCCTGTTGTTCACAATTATTAACAATGAGGAACCATACTACAGCTGGACCCTCGGAAATTTGTGCGGGAGAGGCTACGAATTGCCAGGGTGGGTAGTTTGGTGATGGGTAACTTTTACTGACCGATCGACCAGTGTTACATATATTGCTTTTCTAATGCATTATGTGTATTAACAGTTAGGGTCTTTATGCACATATGATGTACCAGTTCATACATCAGATAACCGCTAGCAGAAACTTGATATTATCTGGGGTTACTGGAGCCATCTTTCAATTTTTCCGATATATGATGGAACTGTATTTCTTTCGAGGATGAATACTCGGATATCACATACATCACTGTTTGTGGTCCGAATTACCAATTGTTTCCTCTTCTCTGCTTTCATGACAACGGTAAAGAAAAGAGAACGCCAGTTTATTACAGTTTTATTCAGTGAAACCAAAGAAGCTTCTGACAGCTTTCAATATCTATGAACTTATCTATATTCATAACTCCTCACTGATATATATATATATATATATATATATATATATATATATATATATATATATATATATATATATATATATATATATATATATATATATATATATATATATATATATAGTAATTTATTTGTTTTGGGAAAACTATTAAAAATATATTAAACTGCCTTACAGCATAATACAATACTCCTCGTAAGACATATCTCCACTGAAATATCAGAAAGGTTTCCTCAGTTTTTCCCATTTAATTTAGTTCGTACTGTCTCATGATTATTAAAGTCATTAATCTTCACCACATTAGATGGGAGTAATGTTGTTATCAGGCCATGATCAGTCAGAGTTATGTTCCGGTTTAGAATTAATCGTGGGTTCACAATTGGCACGTTACATCTTTTGGAACCTATGTGGGCAAAACAAACACACACACTGTACAGTGCGTCTGTGGACCTAAAAATCAGTGTCATGCCTACGTCGAACCCTTGAACTTAAATAACAATTATTGTGGGTTGTGGAGATATACTGAATATTACCCAAAATTATGATCTTTTGTACATGTTTAACCTTAGGGGAACAAAGTTGGCATGACACTAATTTTTAAGCCCACTCACGCACGCACGCACACAGGTTCCCAAAATGTTGCTATCCCGACACTGTACCCCTGATATGACTAGTTTAAACTAGTACTTTAAACTTATATTTAGCTACTAAGTGTTTAATAAGGTTAGTAAAATGTTTGAAGTTAGCAAAATGAGCGGATGAGGAATATGGGAGGCTTCTGAGATGTGCTGGACTACTGGTCTGGGATGAGCTGCGCCAACAATTGCTCGAAAACACTCCTACTGGTGGTGATGACGGAGGTGACGGGGTCCTGGTTCACCTTCTCAAAAAAGTCCACGAAGTATCCTGGAAAGTGTTAAGAGTCAGTGTCATGCTATCTTATATAAATTTTGATCTTTCACATATACAAAATTCTTTAAACATCATCCCAGTTATTTCAGATAATGAAATAATGTTTTTTGCTAGGAGGATGGACCACAACATAATTATGGTAAAGACAGTGAGAAGATCGAAACCTGGGTATTAACTGTGGCTCACCTGCAGCTTTCTTCCAGGCACCGTTGATGAGCACCGTGCGGGTCTTAACCTCGGCCAGGTTGCCATACGTCACCTGTCCACACGCAACACAATGTCACTCACAGTACCTTCACAAACTACAGGTTATAATAATGGTGATACGCTGTGCAATATTTCATAAAAGATTTATAAAGAATATATCAATATATACTGTGCAAGAAATATGAAGATTGCAATATTCTATAATAATAATAATGTATTTTAATATTTCAATTTTGAGTATAAGATATGCAAAAGGTGTAACATTTCGTGAGTGATATATTGTAATTATGTTGTAATTATGAAGACGAAAGACATTTGAGACTCCATCATATATACAAAATATATAAAGAGTTTAATAATTTATACAAGACATACAGATGTAATTTTCAACACGATCTATGAACCTGATACTAGAAAGTCACTCTACTCCCTTGTATTGGTTAGACTCTAGAGGACAAGTGCATCAAATATTAAGTTACTTGGAACTTAATATTTGGAGTCCAACATTTGACTAGAATAGATAGAAAACAAAGATCACTGTATTTGAAAATTTTTTGCTTGACATGAAAAAATAATTAGTGGTTTCTGAAAATCAGAATTTGTAAATTATCTGCAGCTTAAATCACATTTCTTACCCTAACTAGCGTGGTTACCTTACTGTGTCCAGCTTACGGTACATTAATAGAAGAGTCAGTATAAATGTTTTTAAGAAATAAAAAGCGCAGGGTAAGATCAGACTACAGGTAGTATCACTGACAAAGGCTGAAGACTTTGAAGCAGGTTCGTTTGAGCCGATAGAGGTTGCATAACTTAGGAACAACACCCTGAGGCAGAAAGTTCCACAGAGTGTTAGTCCTGAGTATGAATGATCCGTCAGATACGTCGTGGTGGCACTAATGAGTGTTCTCTATTGAGTAGAACAAGTGATGAAAAAACCCTCAGAATGTGTAGTGGGGGAAATGTTTTGGTGAGGACATTAATGTTGATTTTATATATTTTTTTCTATATAAAATCAAGGAGGTCAAGTGCCTTAACACCACAACTGGCTCACAGATAACATCAGTGTTTCACCTGGGACAACACATCGTTTAAATAAATAGTTGCCAACTGTTCATAGATAAAATAGGGCTTAGTTTTGAACACAACCCCAAGCTTTATTTAAGAAAGTTTGGTTAGTATTCTTACAAAGTTTATCATAGTAAGAGTTAATTATAGATGATGCCTTAAATTTTAACCCTATGGGATGAGGGATGATGATATTGTTATAATTAATGTAGACTTGTGTGATATTATTCAAGTTCCTGTGAGGTGCCCGTAACCTTCCCTCACCCTGACTGACCTGCCTGACGAAGCCCATGTTGACCAGAGTTTTCCTAGTGACGGGGATATAGTACTGGCGGCCCGTGTGTAGCCTCCACACGTCCCTGGAAGAAGAGCGAGAAGGGTGTAGGAGGGTTAAGTAACTTGATGTTATTGTAAATCTATAAACAGAGGATGGAACATACACTACGTTGGTGTCTTGAGGTCTCATGTATGTGACAAACACGGACACACACACACAGACACATAGAAATACACACACACACATACACGCACACACACACACGAGGGAAATAATTTATTTTTAACTCAATTATCTCAAATAAAACAGAAGAAAATAGCTTGAGTGTGGAAGGTGTATCTAGTTACTGCTCTTAAGACACTCACCATGACTTATCCTACACCTGAGTCTTTAATCACTCACATGTAAAAAAAAAAAAAAAGACCACGGGTAGCATTAAGAATTACACTGCCGTTAACATAAGCCAATTTAGTCAATATTGGACCAAGTGACAGACCTGAAGACATGACCTGAGGGAATTAATTACTTCTCAGAGGTATTAATTCAGGATCTATTGAGAGTTATTCATGGTCCCGTTTCTTCACTAGTTGGGATTGGAAACATTTATTCAATATTACGATTTCATTTTTTTTTGTGTTGGGGGAATTTACACTCGCCTTTCTCTTGGTCATTACTCGCACTTAAATACTACGAATTAAGAGCGACAGGTAGATGTTATCACTAGGTAAGCAGGGACCGAGGCTAGGACTGTGATTCGAATCCTCTTTTTGGCTCGAGATGCGTGAGTTTGAGAGTTTCGAACACCATACTCGGATCACCTAAAATTCTAAATGACCCACAGGTCGAATTGGTCGTAAAACTGATTCGCCTGGAGGAGTAACCTGCCCGAAGCAATAAAATTATCCACATCACAGACCCCAAACAGTGAAGAACGATACTTCTCCTATGTCACCTGATGCCTCACTCCAAGAACTAGCCAGGCAGTGTCTTGGTATTCTATTATCTGTCCAGGTCCAGATTCTCACCTGTCAACACAGAGCCTCACCTGTCCACACAGAGCCTTACCTGGCTATGAAGAGACCTGGGTGCTGGGGTAAACGAAGGAAGGCTCGGCTTCGGTTGGTAACTTTGAGCTTGCCCTTCACTGTCCGCTTGCCCGACCTCTTCCTGCCTCCCACGCGACCTGCGGCACATATACACACTCACTCACCTATCATTACCTGTGCAGCGCTAAATCACCCAAGAGTTGACAAACACACAGGATAAGAATTTTTCAAGTAAAAAATCCTTTATGTGCAAGTATCTCAACTCTCGTGTGATAGTTTTCAGTTGTTGGGGGCCAGGTCCGATAATTATCGGACCTGGCCCCCAAGTATTGGACAGGGAACACCACCCCAGTTGCCTTGTGCGCCTCCAACACCCTTAACCCCGAAACCTCTGCGGACACTCCTGATGTCCACGCATCACAAATACACCGAAAGTATGTCCGTCCCTCAATATTGTCAAAGTTCAGGTGCCTCCCTCCACCCCACCATGCCCATTCTCCCATGCCACATCCCTTCCCGGATAGATATCCCATTCTTCTAGTGACAGTCCTAGCACTTGAAATTATTAGGGAGTTACACCGCTTTAACTGTAGAGGGAATCCTCCCTATATACAGTTAGCATTACTTCTCGACATATAACTTTCTAACAAAATCAATGGCCCCTCAAGCACCCTTGTCGTCCACCCATCATCTAAATCTAAGAAAGCAAATATGAACTTAACAGGTTTCCCTGCTGGGCTCTGTAATGCTTTTGCCTTACGTAGAATGTACAGGAGTGCCCAATAAACTAGCCCCAGCGCTGCGCGGGGTAGAACCTAAAATTTGAAATCATCTTAATGGAAGAATAAGTCTATGTTTAGTGTCAGTCTCAGAATAGAGTCGGTGTGTGAAGCGTCGTCTACTCGGATGTTGCCAGTGATGCTTTGTTGTCTCTCGGGACAGTCTCCTCTCCCAGCTGCTGTGATGGCAAATCCTCACATCGAACAAGATGTACATTAATAGACTAATGGTCACCCTCCTCCACCTTGCACCTGGTGGTAAAGACGTCATTAGCAGCAGCTGGAGGTAATTACGGCTGCCTTCCTCGCCCTTACGACCTCCTTCTGCTTCACCAGGTTTCATGTTAATCCAGGGACCTATGTATATATACATACCGCCCCTCCGATCTGTGACCCCTCCTCCTCCACTCCCCCTGTCCCCAGCCTCCCGCTTCCCAGCAACAGCCCCTAACCCTCTCCTTCTTACCAGTACTCTCGTTATCCTCTCCTTACTCACCGATCTTCTTTGCACTGGAGTCATTTACCATGTTGTCAACTTGTTCCCCTTCACTCTCTGTGTTGTCGTCAGCGTCCTCTTGAAGTTTCTTAACCTTAGGTCCTCTCTTTCTCTTGGACTTCCTTCCTTCACTATTCTCTTTGCTCTCCATGCTCTCCTCCTCCTCCTCATCCTCCTCGTCTTCCTCGACATCAAGTGTGTCCTCGTGAGGTTGATCATTGCCGCCCAAGAAGTTTTCCACGTTGTCGAAGTCAACTAAGCGTGATGATGATTAACAGAAGTAATTTGGGGTATACACAAATACATAATTATATATTAGTATCAATATTATGCACTCTTATATTCATATTTCTTACATACGCACTAATGTTCAGTATACATTAAGCATATACAACTGTATTAAGAAAATATTCACCTATTTACTCTGTATACAGAAATATACATATATAGGCTCATAGAAAAACAATTCCCAGTTTGTAAATACTTTCGTTATATTTCATGAAATAGTTAATTTGCAAAGTGATTAGTTCTTTTTAAATGACCAAAACCCAAAATTTACAAATTCTTTTCAACAGACTTGACTGTGGGCGCCGTTCATCACGCAGAAAACATTTAGACTTCAATTTCAGTCTAAACTTGACTCAGCTTGTCTGGAGTGAAATTGGTAATGGCTGCTGTCATTCGTTCACTATTCACAAACAATAAGGAACAAAAACGTTAAGAGTTTTTGACATTTAAAACAACATATGACCTTTGCAAGTAAATTATTTAATTAATGTTAAGAAACCAAGATACCAGCTGTGTATTTTCCCAGAATTTGTAATAATATGCGGCAGAGCGGGACAGAACAGCAATAATCACAGCTTATAATATGTCGTTGCTTGAGATTTTCGCTCAAACTATTGCGCAAGGATTCCAGATGTTACCGATCTTAAAACATATTATACCGCTGTCATTTTCTTTTATTTGTATCTTGCCAAATCCCCTCACCCCCCTTAATTTTTGCTTTATTTCTCTCTCTCTCTCTCTCTCTCTCTCTCTCTCTCTCTCTCTCTCACTTTCATTGTTACTTTCTTCACGTCTATTCAATTTTAGTCGCTCACTTTATCTTTTACTCCCTTTTAAAGTACGCATTATTTTCTGAAATCCATGACGTAGAATTTAAGCAAAGTTCTTCGTTCTGAATCGAACCTCGAAGCTTCGTTGTCACTTTACCCAAATTCTTCGTCATGGGTTTCGGAACATGGCACGACTTTTTTTCTACCTTTTCTGGCTGTATCTTAGCCACTATTGGTCCAACTAACAGGAGGCCAATTTACCTAGATCGTTCTTGTGGAACTTGTTTTCCGTCACCTCCTCCAATAGGGGTGCAGGTGGCTCCCCGAGGCCGAGAGGAGTCTCTCCTTGGAGGTCTCCGAGGGTCTTGAGGTATTCCTCAGAGTCACAATTCCGCCCGGGGCCGAACCAGGAGTTACCAAGGCAGTGGGCATGAGTGGTGCAGGTACTTGTGGCGAGGCACCAGCCGCAGGAAAAGCTGGTGTTGACGGCCACGCAGGACGGGCAGGAAGAGGCCATTTGGTCGCAGCTGTATACCACCACTGCCGGTCACAGAGACGGTACCATATAGGACATGAGGGCAGGGGTGTTAGAGACAACATACTTAGGTAGAGACGTGGGGGGCGAGGGAGGGGGGTGGGGGCAAAAGGAGAAAGAAAGTAGGAACCAAACCGTAAAGGTGGGGGTGGGAAGGGAGACACTGTAATAAAGATACAGGTATTGGAGAAGGTGAAGGAGAAACAAGTTAAGGAGTACCAATGAAAATTAAATAAATCAACAAATAACCGAATTAACATATAAAAAAAAATATTAAACAATATTCATAAACTGTAAACTGTAAAATATGGTTAAACTTGCGTTAAGGAGAATACCTTATAAAGGCAAATAAAGAAAGGATGAGTGGTAGAGATGGAATAGGAGGGGAATAAGGGGAAGCATGAGAAGTAGCAAATGGAGGAGGAGGAGGAGGAGGAGGAGGAGGAGGAGGACAAGTAGCACTGTTGCAGGCACCAACAATAAAAGAAGAGGAGTAAAGGAAAGCAACAGAAGCAACATGAAGACACGGGGCGAGGAGGAGCCACCAGCATCATCATCAGGAAGTAACAGTACTCACGTCGTACATCCTCCGGCTTGTCCAGCAAGGCGCCGGCGGGTGTAAGTAGATTCACAGTATAGTGAGCATGTGGACGTGCAGGAGTAGGCCTCAGCTCCGTCACCCCGTCCCCGCATCTGATGGCCCCGACGCCCACACCAGTACCCACACCCACGCCCGTCCCTATACCACCACTCAGGTCAAACACTCGACCCTGGAGGTGGCGTAGGTGGGGAATACATCCATAATTAATTTAGTATAACAAAGGTTTTAAGAGTTATATCTGTGGTTCAAAGGCGTGATATGTTATTTTAGCCTCCATGTTCTTTCATCTTCATTTCTACTTTTTATCCTGCCGAGTTGAATCATAATCTTCTATGTATCTACAGTATACCATGTACAAGCACCACTTACCATTATAATATCCTCATCACCATCTTTCATCCGGCCTTCACCACTATGTCTTAGGAACAAGTATTGAAAACGATGACATCAGGTTTTGCTTATACACTAAAGATTATTATTTTCAAAACTGGAATTTTCCCCGTAGCCTCACTACCTGCCTCCTCGACACCACCGAGCGCCGCCAGCCACACACGACACCTCTCGTTATCACCAGCTGCTACCTCGAATCAAATCATCCTGACCCTCATTTGAGTTCTCTCCCTGAGTCCTTTTATCTCCACTTCATTATCATTGTCTCATGGACACGTATATATCACACCGGTATATTAACCTCAACTCTAATTTTTATTATTATCTTTTTATATATTTACGCCAACATAAACTTCAGTATTACTTAACTTACATTTTTCACTTTTTATCCGATACATCATCACTACATAATGATGACTTTTTCTTAAGTTTAAATCTGTTTATTTCTTAACCGATATCTTTTCTCTGATTTGAATTTTGCATTGAATTAACCTTTACTCTCAAATAAAGTTGGAACTGTGTAAGTTTTTTTGTTGTGTCGATACGTACAGGGGACAGGCTAAGATGACAGGCCAAGATGACAGGCCAAGATGACAGGCCAAGATGACAGGTGAAAATTCTGAAAGATGGTTTACGGGATACCTAACCTCACCTAACCTAACCTAACCTAACCTCACCTGAAAGTGGCCAGGAAGACGAAGATTCCCCTCCCTGGTCATCTTCAATCCCTTCTTTGTCCTCTTTATCTCGGCTCTCTTCTTCTTGAAATCGAATTCCTCATCTGTTTTTAGTCGCCTTTCCAGTGCTTCTTTTTCCTCTTCCTCTGTCTGCTGGTTCTCTTCCTCGGCTTCTCCTTTCGTTTCCTCCCTTGTGGTCTCCTCTGCGTCTCCATCTTCGTCCTCCACAGGTTCGAAGATACATATCCACCCACTTTCCGTCTGCGAGGACTGGAATAAAGGGAGAAATCACCTCTATCTTTTGTTTATAATGTGTCAACCCCCAGCATAAGGCAGTTCAATCATTTACTGTACATAGGCTCACTCAAACCCTTAACATCTATAACTTAACCTATATGGTATTTAACCCTTCAAAGTGTGATATCTGAATCTTTTTTTTTTTTTTTAATTTTTTAATTTTTTTTGGGGCACCCCCCTACATCCTTGTGTAAGGTGAAGCGCAGAAGCGTTTACAGTGCCCAACAGGGAAGCATGCTAAGTTCATGCTTGCCTTTATGCCTCATGAGTTAAGGGCGTAGAAGCCTGAAGAGTCAAGGGCGTAGAAGCCTGAAGAGTCAGTGGTTATGTCTTCAAGTTATTGGAAGCTCCAACAACTTTACCTGAATACGAATTCGCAACTTTCGACTTACAACAGGTACCTACTTTACTGCTAGGTGAACAGGGACTAATGGGGGCTAGGAAGTAAGTTCAAACAACTTCCACCGGCCCGGGAATCGAACCCGTGACATCTCGCTTGCGAGGCAAGAACGGTACCGCTTCTACCACCGGTCCCCCTGATAACTGAATCTATATAATACTTTAAGTGCATTATCTAAATCCTAAATGAACGAGGTTGCTGTTTTAGTATAATAATAGAAGCCTTATATAAGACAATAGAGCTCGGAAGTATGATAATTAAACCTTAAATTACGAATATTTCTCCTTAAATTAAAGAAAAAACATTTACACCTCACATATTTGAACCCTTATTATGACCCTTTAACCCTTAAGTAAGATAAATGAACCTTAAAGTACAACCCTTTAACTCATACGTAAGATAAACGAGCCCTAAAGTACGACCCATTAACCCTTAAGTAAGAAAACTGAGAACTAAAGTACTATCAGTTCTCATTTAAAATACAGTAATTGAACCTAAAGTACGACCCTTTAATCAGTAAACCATAATTAATTGAACCCTAAATAAATGCATACAAATAAACAATACTTAAAGTTGTATAATTTACCTCTTGAAATAATTGAATCCTAAAGAAGAATTATTTAACCCTTAAGATAAAATAATTAAAGCTCTAAAATGCTATAATTTAACGATTAAGATAACTGAGCCTTAAGTCATTATCAAGTAACCCTTAAAATGAGACTAATAAACTAAATGTACGAGTCTGTAGCCCTTAAAGAACCCGTATGTTAATTAAACCTAAAAGTAAGACAATACCTTAATATTTATAGCGATTATGGAATAATGTTTAGGTCCTTGAAATACTACAACTTAAACCTTTGAGCTCTGAAGGGTTAAACCATCGTCCTCAAAGGGCTAAATGTCAACAATAACACGTCGTAGTCAGGGTTGTGTATCACCGTAATCTTGGGATGACTGACGTGATCCACCGCCTCGGTTAACACATAAGGTGATATCCTGGTTTGGGATTGATAGCGATGATACTGTATATGCAAGTTCAATTAGACCGAGAGGAGAGGCAGGCTGTTTTTTTTCCGCTCTGTGTGTGTGTGTGTGTGTGTGTGTGTGTGTGTGTGTGTGTGTGTGTGTATTATCAATCTGACAGATGAGAGATGTATTGATATCCTCGTGAGAGCTGAGACATTGGCAGACCTGAATATTGTGCACGGGGAAGGTGAGGATGGGGGAGGATCCAGCGCTCACTAGGACCTGCTTCTCCTGCCGCGCCGCCATCTGTGGACACCAGCTGGAACCTCGACGCTGTTGTGATTTCTGCAGGAGAGAGGAGGGATCAAACAAGTCGAGCTTTGTGGGTGTGTAAAGGGAAGGTAAGAGTAACGGAGGTGGCCAATGCAGCTCAATTGGGAAGTAAAGGTCGGAGTTATTGTTGCCCTATATGACTGGCAGATGTGCTCTGTCTAAAAGAGGTGGATCTTGAGGCCCTGCAAATAAAACCAGATGGGACTGAACACATCAGCTCTGCAGAGAAGGAAAATATCCTCAGTTACATAAAGAGTTAGTTAAGAAGCTTTACATATACAAGCAAGTTATACAAGGTGGAAGGTAAGGGTATTCGAAGGTGTTGATGAATGGGGAGGTGAGGGAGAATAATAATGAGATGCGTGAGGGAGAGGAGAAATGAGGACCTTTGTGGACTCCTACGTTTCTCTGAGAATATCAAAGAGACATTAGAACGGGGAGGGAGAGAGGGATAATTATAACGCAGGCATACACGTGAGCGCGTACACAGACAGACAGGCGGAGAAAAAGACTTGTACACAAGAGGCAACAGGTGACAGTACCGTGGTGTTGTGATGGACGGTAAGTCGGTCTGGGCAGGCGGCGGCAACGGGAGCGAGGCTGGGCACACACTTCTGGGTCAGGTCACACCAGGTACACGTATCTCTCTCTACGTCCGCCTCTGTGTCCTGAACGACACACGCCATGCACGAAGTGAGGGCACCACATCGGTCTTTTGTGGGAAATGATGGTTCGGCGTGGTCGTGGACCTGTGTGGGTATGGCCTGAGGCGTGAGGGCGGCCCCGGCCGAAAGCGCCGGGGCATCTAGATGTGTAAGGGAGGCGTTGAGGGTGATGTTGGCGTCCAGGAAAGGTTGGAGGTGGCAGGCGCCGGCCAGAACAGCCACGTGATCAAGGGCGATGTCAGCCTCTGTGCCTGGTCCCCGTGTGGCTCGCACCGCCAGCACCAGCGGCGCCCCTGCATCAGCAACGTCATCTTGACCCACTGTCACGCCCACAGGCATCCAACTCAGACCTTTGCCGCCCACCGCGTGGAAAAGCTCGGTGGTGTGTGTGTCGTCATCCAGATGCTGCAGCACGTGCACAGACACCTTGGCCACGTGCGCCCCGAACAAGAACACGGCAAATCTAGAAGTTATGTGAAGGTAAGTCAGTCACGTATAGAGAACCTTGTTAGATGTTGGGGTAACTCAACCATATACAAGCAGCACTCGACCGTACCCAGAGGAAGTCAAGTACAGTATACTATTAAAACAACGCTAATGACAAAGATGTACAGTATCTTTATGTGGGTGAGGAAGAGGGCGTGAATAAAAAGGGAGAGACATGAATAAAACATGATTACCCAAATAAGTTAATGACTGCAACAAATGTCCTCCACTCAGGTCTGACTCATAAAAAAAACCCTAACAATTTTGATATTTTTGTAACCAGTGATCGTAACAGAGCTAATAAACTAGTACCGTATTAACCCCAAACTTATGTAGGCCAATCTGTGTTGACTACCACAAAGAATCTTCATTTTAACTCCCTTAATTTGTAAATTTTTGGGTGACACTTGATCTTCACCATATACAGTAAAATAAACAAACTCCAAAAATGTGTTTCAATGCGTGAAGTCAAAATACGTCTTTGTGAACAGTTGCATTTAAATTGTCAAGAAAAATTAAGGATTGGGAGGAGAAAAACCAAAACTTATTAATTCATCATGAACTTTCTCCCTCTACCTCACCAAGCACAAGAATAAATGAAATAAAGGAAAGAGCAGACCCGCAATCTCGAATCTACGGTAGAAATTAGCCTCTGACTTCCTGTACAATTAAGCATTATTCACAAAAATACACATAATGTCTAATATCTTTCCTCTCTTGCTGTTATATTAGTAAAAAATATAAAGAAATTGAAGGAAAAAAGATTGTGTTGTTGTTTTAACCCTTAACTATATAATTACAATTTGTAGCGAGGCCAAATTGAAAAAGGAAAGAAAAGTAGCTGATATGGTTAATGTATCATGGGAGTGTGGCGACCCTGACCTGTGGAACCTAATATCATGATACATAATGTGATTGGGATATAAACCCACTCGTGACGCTGGGTGCAGTTATACGTATTGTTTCTTTGTTGGAAGGGAAACACAAACGAGAGAAATAAAGAAAGAACAGCAAACGCAATAGGTGAAAGGTCAAATATAAAGAAGAAAACCAACGATGAATTGAAATAACAAATTGGACAAATTCATGTAACGCGAGGGGTATAATTCTGCAGAAGTGTGATGAGGTGGTGGTGGTGGTGGTGGTGGTGGTGTGATGAGGAGGTTGTTCACCTTTTGGAGTTCGAGAGAAGCTCCTAGCAACCTAACAGGCAAGTCGTATATTTAGTCACTGGCTGCCCCTCCCCCCCCACACACACACCTAATGAAAGGCCACATTTGTCTTCACTAACAATAGAACGATGTACATTGTAAAGTTGGGAAAAATTTTCTGGGAAGTATAAGACAACGTGCAAAGAGAGGGAGAGCGTAGATAAATATAACAAATAAGATCAAGGATATATTGGAGACCAAGTTTACTGTTTTCTCCTCCACCCACCTGAAACAAAGGGCGGGTTCTGGTCCCTCAGGCAGCAGGAGTGGAGGACTCAGGAGGTCGGCGGTGCTGCCCTCAGAGCCATGCAAGGAGTCGGCGAAGACAAAGCCTGAGCCGCTCACATCAGGGTAACCTAGAGAGGAGGACCCGGAGGAGGGGGGGGGATAAGCTCTGTGAGACTTGTTTTAAGTGACTGTTTACAGCATCAGTAGTTTTCAGGCAATGGCGAGATGTAGAGGGTGGCTTACTGATTGTCGTGGTGATCGTGTACATCTTTGCATTACAACAGCAGTATTGTCCTCACTTGTTAATAGGCAAGCTCTCCCACACCGTTTTAGGAGAGCCTCACACATCAGTAAGCGAGGAGAATGCTAGTTTTGTAATACGTGTACAAGCATTTACACAATCACCACGAAAATATGTAAGCCATTGGTGTCCATTTTTTGATACACCCTGTAGTTTACAATTTATAAGTCAAATTACCAGGTAGACACACAGGTGGATAATGGCCGAGAGGAGGGACAGTTAAGCCCGGAGAATAACAACAGGGAGATGGTAACAGGTGTGAGGCGGACAGAGAGGCGGGGCACTGAGGGATACACAGGCAATTTGCGGAGAAGGAGAGAGGATAATTGGCGGGGAGAAAGAGATGGGGGAACGGGGAGAGGAGAGAGGGGGGGGCGAGGGCAAGGTGAGGGAGATCAGAAAAGACGGAGAAACAAGGGAAGGGGAGGTAAGAAAAGGGGAAGCAGGAGGAGGGGAAGCAGGAGGAGGGGAGTCAAGACGAGGGGAAGCAGGAGGAGGGGAGTCAATACAATGGGAACCAAGACGGGGAGAGGAGAGGCAAGACGAGGGGAGGCAAAATGAGGGGAGGCAAGACGAGGGGAGGCAAGACGAGGGGAGGCAAGACAAGGTGAGGCAAGACGAGGAGAGGTGGGTACCAGTAATAGGTCCTGTGCGTCGGGCATGGGGAGAGGCTCGAGCGAACACCCAGGAGTAGCCGCCCTCTGTACTGAGCTGTGACCATCCACACAAACTGTCCTCAAACTCACACTGCAGCAGCTCCGAACCTGTGGGAGGAGAGAGTGAGTGAGTGGAAGAGGAGAGGAAGAGTGTGTGCGTGTGGGAGAGGAGAGGAAGAGTGTGTGTGAGAGAGGGAAGGAAGAGTGTGTGTGTGTGTGGACAAGAAAGTGAAACACGTGAGGAAGTGTCATAAAGACCTTTAATATTCTCTCTAGTAATATAGTCTCAGGTTCTTCCAAATTAATCGTTTAATACCCCATACAATTTCAATATCATAATAAACACTGTAAATCAATAAAACATAACATCGACAAATTACAATTCACAACTCTATATGTAAACATTACCCAACTCCTATAGATTAAGTCATCTTACATAATAAAAACAGGGCGCCTGATTAACATGGTATATGCTGACAACACAGAATTAGCTACCTGGTATGAAAAAAATCTAACCAAATATAGTCAGACAATTCAATAGATAATATGACCTAATATAACAAACTGGTAACATATTATACTCACAACATACTGGTAATATTCTATATAAACAACATAGAGAGAATTCGTTACCGCATATAACATGATGTGTATTATGGATGATATTTATAAAAGGATAACTCATACCGTAACATACCTAAGTACTGCCCACAGAAACAACCTCCGTCTTTCATATTAACATCATCTTTCTATTCCTTTGCATTCTATCTCTCATTCTCCTCATCATTCCCTCATACCTTCTCCTTTTCCTCACACAGTACACCTAACGCTGCCCAAACATCCTCACTTATTCCAGCATCAGCTGAAGGACGGATGACAGCATATAAGGCAATAAAAGTTTCCTCCAGCTCCTGTTCAAGACGGTAGCCTGGCCGTGACGCTCATATCATCAAGAGACAAGTCGGTTGGATGTAACTCTACATTTTCAATACACAATTCTTAGAATTTTCGGTCACCTCATTAATGAGGAACGCAGACACTATTTTTCAGTCCCAAACACTTATGAAATGCCATTAATGAGCATAGAAGAGAGGTCTGAGATATACCAACAAGGTGACTGGTTTGATGCTAATATGTGACGGCGCAGACCAGTAACAGGGTGGGTGGTACACCACAGCCAAGAGCGGACTACTGCACTGCTTAATCTGACATGGGTTAGGTTGCTGACACAGGCAGTAAGTGTCAGAGTAGCATCTTAATGCTAGGGTCAAAAAGGTCTACTTTAAAATAAGTAGGAGTTCAAATACCGTACAAGCTTCAGCTGCTGTCAGTGTGTCCGTCTATTGCGTCTTGTCGAGCTGAACTATTAGATGTACTTAGTTATAAAGAAATCTGAACCTTTTTGTAGTCATAAATCTACAAACTGTCGTCAACATGTGCTCTGATATATGTTTTATGACGTTAAGAACTTTGTATATAACTGTACATGTATAGTACGGTGCAATTTGTAATAACTAAACTGTGCTACTTGGCAGTGAGCTGTGGTATACTGTAGTGGATGAATAGACTGTGTTCAGAATTACATCTCACTTCGTAAATAAAACCTCATCATATGATTTATTATACTTTATTTTACTTTATTCTAAATTCTGTGTTGTTCTTTAAACAGTTATTATGCAAATTTCAATTCGCTTAAATATGTGTACGAAGTGACTTATGGGTTTGTTTACGAGACGACCATCTGTGTGTGAAGTGACCCGACGACAAAACCGTTTGAGTACAGACTGATATACCTTTCTAACACCAGGGAGACAGATGTGAAACAATAAGTAGAAGAAATAGTAGTATATGACATCTGAGCGACGATATATTACACTATAAGAAAATTAATTAATGTTTTGTTCGTCTAAAGGCAATTTCTTAAACAAAAATCTACCCAAAAGGTGAGGCTGACGGCTTCCTTGACTCCTCTCTCCTGTGCCGCCTTTACTGAGGGGGATCTGAGGTCTCTTGATCACACCAACACCGCGCCAACACCCGGGGACGGAGCTGCCCCCTGGAGGCTAAAACACAAAAATTCTCACAAATTATTCCATCAACTTAGGTAATGGGTTCCTTAAATCACAGGTTTGGAGAAAATGAGAAAATTTAGCCCGCTTTTGTGAGTCTTTAATTACAGAAGAAGAAATAGTCTTTCTTCGCTGGGTCTGTGGGGAGTGGATTCACATACATTTGAAGAATAATACGTGCAGGGTTGTGGCAGTCTGTCTGTCTTCAAGTTTACACCCGCTTTCACCCGCCTGTGACAGTCTTAAAATATATGACTTATTTTAGTGAGAAAATTGATACCCTGGAGGACGACTAACATAAGAAAATAAGGAGTCTGCAATAGGCCGGTTGGCCTGTGCATGGCAGCTCCTGTGGAGAGTTTATGACTTTGGAGAGAGAGAGAGAGAGAGTGAGATGTAATAATAATAAACGGTTTATTAATAGAGTTCAGCCGGTGGCTGAAAATATACAGACTTACATTAGATTTAGACATAATGATATAATATGCATTGAATACATTTACAGGGCTGTGCAGTACATAAATCAGGAGTTGTTTATTATTTTAACAATAGATGGGATGGTGCTGTTCTTATATCTATCGGTGCGGGCTCTTATGGGCTGAATTTTGTTGTAGTGGCGGACTGCGCGAGTTGGGTGGGGGGCTGCAGGTGGCAGGAGGTGGCGATGGCGAGGGTGGTGCAGTAGTCCACGGCCAAACCTTTCCAGTGCTTGGTGGTGGAGGTCACTGAGGGATGGCATTTCCAGGGTGGAGAGAGCGTTGGTGTAGCCGGAGTATTCTGCGCCGAGCATGATTCTGCAGGCCCTTTTCTGTACCTTCTCTAGCTGACGTTGTTGGGTGGAGTTGAGAGAAGACGACCAGGCTGGTGACGCATACGTTAGTTTGGGGAGAATAAAGGCGTTGTAGATGGTCCTCAGCTCTGGCGTGGGTGTCCCAAGTGACCTAAGTCTTCGTAGCATGTAGAGACGGTACGAGGCTGCCTTGACTATGTTATTTACATGGGCCTTCCAGTCAAGTTTGTTGTCTATAGTTACACCCAGGAGTTTGGCAGACTGCACCAGCTGGAGAGGATGGGCACCCACTGTGACTGCTGGGGCTTGCACTGGAGTGGTGGCGGAATTGATGTGCATGACTACGGTGTGTGTGTGTGTGTACGTGAGTGTGTGTGTGTGTGTGTGTGTATACGGCATATTGAAACTGTTTGGTTTAAGAGTCGGATAAGTGGATTTCTTAGAAGCATATGGAATCAACAGAATGGATAAGGGGTTTGGATTTGACCTTAAGATGAGCTGAAGGGTCGAATGAAAGGTTTTGTACTTAGGTTAACAAAGAAAAAACCCAAACGAAATCCTGGAAACCCTTTAGATATATCTCTACTTACATTACCTAACCTAACCTTACCTTACCTTACCTTACCTAACCTAACCTTACCTTACCTAACCTAACCTAACCAAACGTAACCTGAAAAAGGGGATCGAAAAAAAGTTGGCCAATCAAATCGTCCGAGCAAAAGTTTCTAAGGGGGATTTAATGATACCTAACTACTATAACTTTGATAACTTTAAGTGTCGTCGAAAAGTTTTAGTAAAAGTAGCGATCTGTGGAGGATGACATAGTTTCCCGGTACTTTTTTAATAGAGTGATGTCAATATGTCAAGAGTTGCCATATTAAAGAGTGGCCACGGTGTAATATTACGGTCTTCGATGTAAACAAACTAATATGACAACAAAGACGAACATAAGGTGAATAGCGGGTGTCTACGAGAGTTTTATGACTACGATAGTTACCCGTTAGTCACTATTTACGATAACTACAAGACGGGGATAGACGATAGAATGGAGAGACGATATCTAAGGAGAACTTGTGTCAACGATTGTCACAGAAGGAGTGAGAACGGTTTTCGTGAAGTAATTAAGATGATTGACTGAATAATGTGGAAGACTTCTAACAACGACACCCGAGTCCAGACCGGGGGAGGACTTACCCGGGTGGTTGAGGGCCTGTTGGAGGATGACTTACCCAGGTTGTTGAGGGCCTGCTGGAGGATGACTTACCCGGGTGGTTGAGGGCCTGCTGGAGGAGGACTTACCCGGGTGGTTGAGGGCCTGCTGGAGGAGGACTTACCCAGGTTGTTGAGGGACTGCTGGAGGAGGACTTACCCAAGTTGTTGAGGGCCTGCCGAGTGACGACGGTGAAGGCCAGCTGGGCCAGGTGGAGCTGCTGGGATTCGTGGACGTGGTCGTCATGGGACACAAGGAACGACAGCTGGTGAAACACAAGATGTGAGTGAGTAACCCGGAGACGAGGAGAGGATAACGAACAAAATCCCACTGGACAAAATTCCACCACAAAACAATAACAAACAAACTTAAATCTATTTTATGATTTTGATGATTCTGGAAAAAAGAGAGAAGAAAGTAGACACGTAAAAAATTCAGACATAACACTTTTGTGAAGGATAGAGACGTATACCATACAAGCCAGAGATAAAAAGAGTGTTTTTGATAGTAAACAATGGTCTTATGGATGAATGAACTGTGAAAACTATAGAGAAACATTGAATAGATTCTTAACGTAACCATTATATATATTTAGACTACTGAAGGTTTATCTACAACACGAATGGATATTTTTTTGTTTTTTCTCCTAATATACACAATACACAATATCTTAATTAAAAACTAAGAATAACTGCCAGTAAATCATCTATTACCATTTTGTTATTGAAATTTTTTTGAATTTGTGTTATATAACCAACCTCTCTTTATAAAAAAAAATGAATATATATATAAATTAACACAATGTAATAAAGCAAACAGACAAACCTTTCGGATGTTAGAGTAATGTTACCAGTGTGGGAAACCGAATTAAAACCCCCTAAGTTTAATGTAATAAACCACACATACATATCTGGCAACACATAAAACAATGTTCACAAACTCAGAAATTTTGTTATGCATCACAGAAAGTCCGACACGAAAGAAATAATTCCTAAAAATGAAAATAAAAGTGAATCAGTGTTGTTACCATCGTCAAGGACAACCATTACACACTCTTACGCCCACCATTATACACTCTCACGCCCACCATTATACACTCTTACGCCCACCATTATACACTCTCACGCCCACCATTATACACTCTCACGCCCACCATTACACACTCTCACGCCCACCATTATACACTCTCACGCCACCATTATACACTCTCACGCCCACCATTATACACTCTCACGCCCACCATTACACACGCCAGGTCTCTTTCCTCGAGGGAGATTGGGACGAGAGACCAGATGTATGTGACACTTGACCAGGGTTGATGACACTTGTTTAGGTCAGTTGGATGTTGTGTTCGGCTGAGCAAAAAGAACACAGCAGAAGCCTAGGCCAATTGGATGAACTGTTCGGATAGGTTACTGGCTTAGAGTGTCTTAGGTAAGGTTAACTAATGGTAGTAGTACACGTTTAAACCCGTGGACGTAAGCCTGTTGAAAGCCAGTTGGTTGTGTCACTAATGTGGGTGAGGGCTGGACAGTAAAATCCTAAGCTAAGGAGAAAACTTTAAGAAAATTTAGAATTCATGAATATTAAAATGAGCAAAACCTTTATTAATCTACCCAGGCGCCGTTTCTAAGTTCAAAATTTCATAAAAAGTTTTCAATTGGTGAGAAAAATTGGTAATTTGTTCTCCTATAGAATTTTATTTCCACGTTAACTATAGGACACACAAACATACATGACAATGAAAATAATTTTATATTTCAGTAATGATGTAACTTAAGAGGGAAAGATCCATAATCGTCGGTGTTACGGGGGAGACAGTCTTTACACACACACACACGCACACACACACACACACACACACACACACACTCTCTCTCTCTCTCTCTCTCTCCTCCGTTATTTCCCCGAGTAAACCAAAGCAAACCAAACCCCACTGTACAGGTCAAATGAATCCTATTCCTACTCCTTTAGGGATGGGGATCATTGGAATTGGAAGTCCATCAGGATTAGGATGTATTAGGATTGGAGTTCCAGGATGGCAAATCGACCTTTACCTTGTAGTGATCGAGGGGGCTGGGAGGGGGGATGAGCACAGTCGCTGAGAGCCAATGCCGCCCCTTGTGACCGCTCTGTCTCCACACCGCCCATTTCCGCACGCCCACGCTGGGGTCCTCCGCGTCCACCATCTCCAGGCTATAGGAAGGAGTAAAGGGGAGTGAGGTGTTGGAGAAGGAAATTACAGACAGGTTAGGTTAGGTTAGGTTAGGGTATATAAGAAGCAATTCATATATGGATACCGCTTATCACTGCTTATCTAAATGATTGTTTATAGCCAATCAAAAGTTAAAAGAAACATACATAAAGTTATCAGTAATCGGCAATTATCCCTACTGTCTCCTCACACCCACACACACACCCACACACACACCCACCCACACACACCCACACACACACCCACCCACACACACCCACACACACACACACACACACACACACACACACACACACACACACACCCCAAGCAGTATGTGTTCTGCACCTCTCACCTTCCTCACTACCGCTAAAAATTTCCTTAATATGTCACGAGGTGTTAAATATTGTGACTGATAACCTCTTCACCATGAACCAATTTTTGCTATTTTTTTTTCTCACCTCAGTTTTATTGCCGTTGTGAAAAACTTAGTAGAGTTATTACACCGAATAAGTAAAGGTTTAATCTATCATGGTTCCTCCGCCTCCTGAAGCCTGATTAAAGTTTCGATATGTTCGTGGTTCACTTTTGCGATTGTGGTCCGTGAAGGGGATCTCATCAAATAGAAATCCTCTGACAACTTTTGTGGAATTTGTATGTAGGAAAAAAATGGGTTTTATTTCATATTTATGCAATTCAATTCCATCTCTGAGTATCCTGTACGAAAAATAATAAGTGATTTATATGTTTTATTTTTGTTGGATTTTATTTTTAGCTACAAATATGTTTATGATAAGAATCCACTCACTAAGTCTCAGCGACACACACACACACACACACACACACACACACACACACACACACACACACACACTTTTCCAAAGCACAACTCCATAACTGCAGAGTCTTGAAGCACAGATCACCGAGTCTTACTTTCTACAGTGGTCGTCTATACTTTTAAAGGTTAAGAAAGGCGTCCTACATCACAGTTAGTTATACAGTTCGTTCTATAGCTAATACCAGCGTTACCTTACTGGTCTTCGATACTGAGAGATAAAAATAGATAAAACTGAAATGTGAATCCTTAGATGTGATGGCCGGCTGAGTAAGTGAATCAGAGCATCGTATTGAAGTAAGAGAGTAACACTGGAGTAAGATTTTGTTGTGATAAGAGGCTCATGTGAGAGTAACTATGGCGTAAGAAATTAATGAAGAGTAACATTAGACTAAGAGGCTCTACCTGATTAAGTGACTCACCTGAGAGTAGCGTTGGAGGCACCTAGCCAGGCATCGAGGCGGTACTTGAAGGTGAGGACTCCCACCCCTCCTGCTGGGTGGTGTAGCCTGGGGGTCACGAGGCGGCTGGGGGGGTTGTTGCTCCTCTTACCAGGCTTCTCTGGCACTGGTGAAGGCTTTACTGAGATGTAGCGCGGCACTGAGAGCGACGGAGGAACCATCAACATTGGTGTATAATAAATTAGAAAATTCTAGAGTTTTACAAGAATGACATGAGACAGATTAGTAATTATGTTTAATGAATTCTTAAGTGGTATAATCTTAAAGAGGGTAAAGGTTAAGGAAGAATCTTAAGTATAAACAAGATCCAATACCCATAGGACCCACTGGAGGAAAGCGACTAGAAATACCTTTGTGAGCGTAACCCCTGGAATTGGACAAAGTTATAATCTCCCAGACAAGGAAAAAAGAAATAAAGAAATTCATATTTTCCTTTAGATATTAATGGGTTTTATTCGCAGTATGTGTTACCCAAATCACATCTCGGGCGCACACAAGCACTGGTAGAATTTCCAGCCCAGGTCTCACTTGTTGTAGGAGAGAGTCAAGAAATGGTGGTGGATAAAATCATAAATGGAACACTAGGGGCGGCGGGGATGATGGTTGTGCAGGAGAGACATATATATTACGACAGAAAAATATGACACACACACACACACACACACACACACACACACACACACACACACACACACACACACACACACACACACACACACACACACACACACACACACACACACACACACACACACACACACACACACACACACACACACACACACACCACACACACACACACACAAAACTTATAAACTTTTATTTTTATCTTACATTCATCTTAGGATAGTTTATAAATTGCAAAAATTTTCAATATAATCAGAGAAGTGCAGTGGATGAGGGTACTGCTGAAGATGGTCTGTCGGCTGTTAACTGAATGGAATTGTACTGAGTTGTCTGATTACAAGAGGATAAAGAGTGTGAGAGCGTATGTGTGTGGGTGTCTATGTGAGAGAGAGAGAGAGAGAGAGAGAGAGAGAGAGAGAGAGACTCACCTTCGAAATTATCGTCAAGACAGTGTCGTTCATCATCGCCGTCAGGACAGTCGAAGCGTCGGTCACAAACAGAGAGCTCAGGTACACAGTGACCAGAGGGACAATGATAGTGTCCTTGGGCGCACTCCTCCACTCCGTCCACTCCTACACACTCCCTTTCATCTTCTCCTCCCTCACAGTCCCACACTCCGTCACACACCTGCCAACTGTCCCATCAATACAGGTAAGAACTTAAGCACTTTGGTGTTGGAGTAAATCAATTTTATTTTTTATTTTTTTTGTTTATGTATTTGTGAATGGAGTTGTTATCATCGTTGTTGTTGTGGTTTTTGTTGTTGATTGTTTTTTTTAGCTGCTCTTAGTTATGTTTGTATTTACTTTAAGCTTAGTTAGTTGTTGTTTAGTGACTATTTAAATATTGTGTGGTGTGTGTGTGTGTGTGTGTGTGTGTGTGTGTGTGTGTGTGTAGACCCCACCCCCCTCACACGTAAATATACACCCGCAAAATATGCAAACACAAAAAATAAAATAAATAAAAAATCTGAAAATAAGGCAATTAGCAGGAAACCTCATTTGGCCTCCTCAGCTCATGCTCCTCCCGCCCGGACCACAGCCACGCCGGTAGATTGTGGTGGCAGAGTCAACAGTTTGGGAAGTCATGATTGTTGGTACGTTAAACACACGCACACACACACACACACACATCTGCTGTTTAAAGAGAGTGTTTACATTGTAGGGAGGAAGCAGGGGCTGGAGGGAGGTGAAGGAGAGGATGGGGGTAGGGGGGAGGGATGGAGGGAGGGAGGGGTGAAGGGAGAGGATGGGGGTAAAGAGGAAAAAGGGAGGAATATTTGGTATGTTGTAAGCGAGGTAAGGAAGGAGGAGGAAGACTGTCTCACCTGGCCACACAGACGTCACACACCAGGTGAGCGGGAGGACAGGCGTCACAGAACTCCTCGTCGGTGCAGGCGGGGAGAGAAGGCGAGCCGTCACACACCTGCTCCTGCGGCACACACACACCGGAGGTGGGGCAGATGAACTTAGCCGGGCCGCAGTAAGCACATCCCACCTATACATGTTAATTAAAGAACAAGATTCAGTTTCTCTAATGTGTTCTAAATGTTTATTATAGAATTAAGACTAACTTTTATTTACAAATTTAATCCTAATCTTAAGTCTGAATGACGCTTTGTAGATTTAAGTTATATTCTCCCCATAATCGTAACAAGTACTGTATCCTCCCACACGTTCTACAGACCATCTAGCCCGAGGTGTACTGACCTCGTCGAGGCCGTCGAGGGGACAGTCCTTACGTCCGTCACAGCGCCAGGCAGCGGGGATACGGAGACCCCCGGAGCAGGTAATTTTCTCTCCCTCCCCCACCTCGTCTGTCAACACAATATTCTCTGATAGATAAATGGATAGATAAGTGAATTACCAAAAATTATTAGATATTCTGGAAAAAAGCTAAATAGCGAAGATACACAAACATGTGAAAAGATAAACTTATACGTATATAAAAATCCAGATTAATAGATGAGTTTATAAAGAAATTAAAGTATAAATTAAAAGGTATTTTTTTACGTTTATTTTTTCTCCTGGTCAAGTGGAGCTAGTACCCGATGTGGATCACCGCTGTTTGTACAACCATACCCCTATTGTCGTCGAAAAACTCAACTGTTGACACATATACAGACAACAGGGGGAGAAACACCGCACAGTATGTACCGTTAGTCAGATATGTGGCCAGGCCCTCTTGGTGGACACTCTGAATTGATTCGTAAATTCTATGGTGATATACGTAAGTCTACGTATAGGTGACATTGTCATGGCACAACCTCTTATGTGTCTCGTCTACTCTATTAAAAAGACACCAACCAGTTTCTTTTACAGTGAGTGTAGAGTTTAAATAAAACACACTGCTGTCTTGTACCTAAAGTAGTGTTCCACCCCTCAGTGGCCTTTACGAAAATGTGGCCAACAATATATTTTTTTCGGTAATATTTATGATCGAGGTTTGTGCTAAGTGATATGATAGATGTAATATCTGTAAAGGAGGTTCCACTATGAATCCTACGGTGCCACATGTTCGGAAAGGTCCACACTATACTGTGGGAAACTGTACCTCTGCCGCTCCCCCGTCCTGACCCAGTATAAGTGAATATCCAGGTTATGATGAAGTTATTTTTCCTAGGAGGGAGAACTAACACGTGTAACAGATAATCTCCGGACCATCTGCACCGTCAACAAACATCCCTGGCCGGGAGAATTTCATGGAAGTTACTACCGCTTCTTACCTCCCCACGTTCGTCTTAAGGGAACACTCAGCACCTACATAGTACTCACAATGGATTAATTAACACTGGTTCTGAGAGAGGGGCAGTACTGTACTCACCGCTGCTTGGAACGGTCCTGGCCACGCCCTTACAGGAGGCCTCGTCCTCGGCTTGCCGGCAGTGAGAGATGCCGTCACACAGGAGGTCTCGGGGCAGGCAGGGGTCCAGGGGCGCCCCACAACCCTCCGGGGGACACGTCCGTCCTGGTGAGCACAGGGGCCAGTGTTTTAGAGGAGGGAAAGTTTTCGTATTATACTACACGAAAGATTGTTACTGAAGATTCTACAAAACTTCATTTTGATCAATAGTGCGCGTGTATCTCTCTCTCTCTCTCTCTCTCTCTCTCTCTCTCTCTCTCTCTCTCTCTCTCTCTCTCACACACACACACACACACACAGGTGAATGGAACTTCAAACAGAAGCAACTTAATATACCCCTTTTATAAACACACTGAGGTTATAAACAAACATAATAATAGTACTCACCAGAGGGGCAGCGGAAGGCGCCCTGGGCACACACACCTCCACCCAAGTGAAGGGCGGAACTAACTGATCTTTTACACCCCAGTTCACCAGCGTCTCTGTCACACTCTGTAGGGGGAAGACGGAAGGGGTGAATATATATGGCGCTACAGAAGGAGGTCAAAGTGATCACTAGACAGAAGAATCAGGTCATGTTTCTCAAAAGTCAAAGGTCGGAGGGGCGTCTCTCTATGATTAACAAATTGATTATGTCCTGGAAAAGAAGAAGAATGAAAACAGCGATACCAATAACAACAAGCACCACAAACATAACATCAACAACAACAACAACAATAACAGGTACACAAAAAATCAAGGAAAACAAGAAAGCTAAGTGTGTACTCGTATAACCCTCTGTACCGTTAAATGTATTGCCGAAGTTTATTAATATTTTGACAAGATTTAATCGTAATAATTATCCTTATTTTACTTTAACCTTCAACAATGGACATGGATAAAATCTGAACTTCGCTTTAACTATAAACATGAGTGAAGAAATATTAATGAAAAGCCACTAAAAAAATATAAAACTCCCCCATGTATGATAAATAGATTCAGTCAGATCACAAAAGCTGGGATATGTTTGAATAAATATACTGTATCAGCCAAAAAATAAATAAAACAATAAAAAGTTAATTTGTTGATCTACTTACACTTAACGTAAATCATGTGAGAAATAATGTGTCGTAAAAGCGCATGACTTTATTTTGAGTATGATAAAAATTGGCCAACAAGGGGATAATATTATGCTGTGGTCTGAGGAGGAGGAGGAGGCGGCGGCGGCGAACGTCACCCAGTGTGATGTATAACGTTATCATATCTCTGGTGGGTGGAGGAGACCAGGAGTGACGTCCACGGCGGGGATTTATCTCCTGAAGACTCTGCTCTGACGCCTCCTCCTTCATCTACTGGGGTAGGGGGGTGGGGGTGAAGAGGAGGGAGCTGTGGGGGCGGGAGGGCGGTAAGGTGGAACGGGATTTGGGAGGAAGTTGGGAGAGAGGGACGGGAGATGAGGGATGGGAGCTGGGGAATGGGGGAATTAGGGAAGGGTTTCGCCTGGGAAAAATATTTATTTTCTCTAAAAATATATTTCGTAAATAACTGGGATGCTAATCTTCCTTTTTCCCCTCAAGCTGTAAAATATCTTCTGTAATACATCCTTCCTGCCATGGTCTAAACCTTCAATAAGTTTGTAATGAAGTGTAATATTTATCTACTCCGTACTCCTTCATAATATTATACAATAGCCTTGCTTACTTGGACACATTGCTAAGATCTGTTCTTTCATTTAAGCACATTACTGTACGGGACAACCTCTTATCTCCTCTCCTAATGGCCCTAAGAGTATCGGCTACAGCACGTTAACAGTACACTTAGACCGCCCTTGGACGTGGATTTTAACACAACTATCAACCCCATTCTGCTTGTCAGTTATTACCAATTCAACCGGTACATTTTTCCGAACATAAGTTAACAGACCTATTGTATTATTTCTATTATTAGTTGGTAAACAGAAACATTGATAATCACATAAATTCATCACATTACCATCCTCTGTGCCCGTCTCTTGTAAGGCTATAACATCCACATTATACAACAGTGCTACTCATGCACGTCTGTGGTCCTAGGATGTGAGCTATTAACATTCTATGAAAGCATATTAAACTAGTGTCCTCCATTTTCCCTATTAACAACCTTATTCTCTCATTCACAAACTGTTCCATTACTTCTTTCACTCGAGCTAATACCTTATTATGTAATACTTCGGGGTTATCACCCCATTTGCGGGCTATCTCTTCCCTAATGTCCACATTTTACGTGCCCCATAGCAAAGATGGTTTGTCAGAATTTATTACTGTATTATGTTCAACCTTTTTTCCTCGTAGTTCAGCATCCTCATTTCTATGTTCACAAAAATGGTCAATTACCTTCTGGCTGCCCTCTACCTTTTTTCTAAGCATCTAAATTTCTTGCCTGAGTTGAATTACTACACCATACCCATCAACAAACTTGTCAATTACGTTATCTTCTGGAATAACTTTTGGTGCAGCTCCTACACCATTTCCTGTTACCTCCAACGTGTCACTCTGTTCCATCCTCTTCTTCCACACGTTCTCAGTTGAAGGTAGAGTTGTCTCACCTGCAACTCCTCGTCCTTCTCGTTGCTGCACTTCCCTCACGCTCTGCCACCGCACACCACGCATCTGTGGCTTCTTATTGCAAATTGAGGAGCCACAATTCCAACAGCACGGTGCAATATGTTACCCAGACTTTATTTAATCCCTCATTCTATTGAATTATGATTTTTTCCACAGTAACGACACCGACATTCAATTTAACATTTCCAGGCTATATGGCCCCACCTGCTGCACTTGTAACACAGAACAGGTTGTTCAATAAACTTTGCAATTCTCCTCTATCTTATCACAGTCACATAGGAATTTTTTCGACCTTCCTAAGCAGGGGTTCAAACTTTTTATGCTCTCTTCCCAGTGTAGCAGCCCACAGTAATCGCTCACAGAATAACATACGTAAATCACTTGGGAAGTTCAACCTCCTCCTACCTGAGCCGTTTCCACCACCCGGGTTGCTCGTCACATTGGTACTGTCACGATGATTCATTCGACCAACCTGCTGCGTTTAATTCCCAGTTGAATTCTTTCTGCTTTCTTCTGTGTGTTTCGTACTTTTCTATCTATCATTTATGATCTCACCACTATCACTTCCTTCACTTTTTTCACCAACTCTCGCCACCTCTTCTTTTCTTTCTTACTAATCATCTCTTGGAAACTGTCTGTCACCTCCATTGTTGTAGGCCGCGGATCATCTGCTTCCGATTCGCAACTTGAAAGCCACAATCTTTTCTTCTCCAGTCAAAGCCTTCACAAGTTGCTGCCCATCACTTACCCCAGGCATGGTGCAAAGCTTAGGCAGCCAGTGAAAATCAACAGTATTGTCCCAAAGTACAAGGCTGGCACGTCCGACCAGTACGGCCAGCGTTCAGAGAATCTATCTACTGAAGACACGATGCGATAATACATTAAAGTGTGTACGATAATTCCATCAAAACTAACGTCAAGATACAATCCACTGGAAAAAAACAACAACAATGTACAAGTAGGGAAACACTTCTTGCGTGTGTCATGATAATAATGGCACTGCAGTGATATCCGAGATGTAGTTGGTGTGAGGTGGTGGTGTAGCAGTCCTTCCGGGAGCTATATGTAAGGTATAACTATGACAGGTAGAGTAAGGGGAAGCTGTCTCACTTTTGATTCATGCGCTCAAGGACACATGCTCACGGTATAGAGGCACTGCGGCCGTGTTTATATCGATATCGTAAACGAGACTACCGTAGCTACACGGGGAACAGTGTCGTACGAAGCTTTATGAATCAGAAATCATAGCCAATACCATTCGTGTGGGGGACAACGTCTTCTCTTTTTCCCTCCTTCAGGCATAATTAACCGACGTGAGGGATGGAGGAGGAAGGATGGGAAGGATAGGTGGGGAGGGTATGGTTATGATGGTCGGATCGGGGGGGACAGAAATTGGTCATATGATCCCACACGACGACTCTCTGGCGATTTGGTTGGCGAATGTAGGTAAACAGAAACACTGAGGGAGGGAGGGAGGGAGGGAGGATAATGAAAATGGGAGATATGATAAAGAAGAGAGAGAGATTAAGAGGCTGGTGGATGAATAGACATAAGGAAAGAGTGAAGGGAGAGAGAGGTTAAGAGTTTAATAAATGAAAGGAGAGGGGTGGCGAGAGAAAGAGAGAGAGGAGAGATTTAGGGAGGCATAAAGGGGAACGAGGGAAAGGAAGAATAAACAGCAGGATGAAAGGAAAGAGAGACGTGGGAAGGAAATTAATGGAAAGTAAGAAAGAGGATTAGAGCAGGAAATTAGTTTACATACCGCAGAATAAAGTTGTGGGGGTCAATACTCACCACAGTGTTCCTCGTCACTCTTGTCGGGGCAATCTGGTATGCCATCACACACCCAGGCCTCCTGCAGGGGTGAGCCATCCCTGCAAGAGTGCTCAGCCACGTCCACAGACTCAGGATCGAGAACCATCGGGGCCTCCGTGGTGATGAGGCTGCCGAGGGTGGTGTTGCTGGTGTTAGCCTCGTTTTCTGCAAGGTGAGGGTCGGGCATTTAGCAAAGGTTAAACCCGTAAAGGATAGTCAGTGTACATGACTCATATTTTTAACGTTTACATTTGTGATGAGTTTTGTGGGTCAGGAAGAAACTGAGTAATCTTGAATGAGGTGAAGCGAATTTAGGGAAACCGAGGTAATTCTGCCTCAACGATGAAGAATGGGAGGTGTTGGTTAGCTATGTGGAAGAGTTTATAAGAACAGGAGAGAACACGGTGGGTTAGTATGGGACAGGATGGGTAATGTTGGGGGGTGGGTCTGGGTAGACAAGGTGGACTGACGTGGGTGTTGAGCGTTGAACACACCTGGGAAGGGAGCGTCTACGTAAACCCAGTCTCGCTGACCAAACTTGGGCTGTGTCATACCACACAGGGACCCTTGGGGTGTGCAGTGCCACTGTGGCGGCGAGTCAAGACTGGGAGAGGGCGTGTCCAGGCTAGAGATGGAGGTATCCTGGGGTAGGGTATCGTTGCAGCCTCCCTGAAGCACCTTCACGTCGTCAACCCAAACTTCCGTCGAAGACTCTGCTGTCCCTGCAGTCAGCATCACCTGACAAAAAACGACAACAATGAACAATGAAAGAAGCACGAAACAAGTAAACAAAAAGCACCAGTAGGGACGTCCTTTGTTTCCAACACCAAAAATGAGATGATTATTAATCCTGAAAATGAATTTACAATATAAAGCTTAATTCAATGATCTTGGTTTACAGAATTATTGTATCAACTGTAAATCTGGCAGCTCCTTTTCTTGTTTAACAAAACCTACTTCATAATGTACGTCTTAACTGACCTCAGTCTCTTATACCTAAGGATGAGTTTAGTTTGGTCTGGTAAATCACAACACACCAGACCAGTGGTGTTAGGTGACGGCTCTTGTTGCCCTTTGAGAAAAATAACGCTGTCTGCCTGAATTGTTTTGTAAGGAGGTAGAGACTCTCGGAGAAAATGAAGAGAAAACATATTCTTTAGGAAAACAGAAAGTTGGTTTTCTTGAACGCCCGCCACCTGCTGACTGAAACACGACTCAGAACAAAAGTTTTGTGTGAATCACCAGCAAAATTTCGTCTTTAATTTATCCACTTATATATGTTGTGCTGTGTCGATTACTCATGAATATTATCTTTAACTTTAGTTTCCATTGATGTCGGTGGGTAGTCTTAACTTATGACAATTACCATTTGAAGTGTTACGTACTACATTTTATTAGCACGTTTGAAATGAGTCCGGCGACAGCACACAACCATAATTAAAACAAAAAGACGTAAGATGTCTCTGACTAACAAAGCGGCTTCACAAAACTTGAGACACACAGATAAAATAGATGGAAACTCGTTATACTGCCAGCTGTCCTGTACAAGGTTAGATAACTTTACATAACCTGAGATATTCTACAGAAAAAGGTGAGTTTAAAGACTACAAGGAGTTTCTACCACTGTCAAAGTGGTTTCAGTAGACCAATAGACAGGTTCTGACGAGGGTGTGGAATGATCACCTTGTAGGCACGTTGTGTGGGTTGTAGTGTAACACACTCGGTGAGCCAGTGAAGACCCTTGCCCCGGCACTGCTCCCAGATGGTGTTAGTGGTGCCGTGGTCCTCCTGCCCCACCTCCCGCTGCCCCACCGACAGGCATCTACTCGTCCCCATCACCCGGTACCTGTAGAGTGCGGCAACGTCTTTTAATTCCAGGATAAAGATAAAAAGAAGGTTTTATCTATTAACTCATGAAAGCGCGCGCGCACACACACACACACACACACACACACACAGAAAAAAACATTTAAAAAGAGTATTTTATCAACTTTGAACACTCTGATAAGACTCATCAATATTTTTTAAGCCGATACACAACTAGAACAGAAATATTCAATCAATGCAAAAACGTGGACAAGTAGTAATTCAATGGACAGAGAGACAAACAAAACGGAGGGAGTCAAATATCGAACCACTTCGCTAACAACGTCACTGAACCCCCCCCCCCTCTCTACACTCCAGTATATTGCTATTACAGGAAACTTGAAAGGAACTTGAAAGGAACTTGAAAGAAAATCCCTAAACAGATTAAGAATAAAAAAAACAAAAAACAGATCATTAAGAGACGCAGCTCACCCACGCACGAACTCTCAGTTGACTACAAAAACAAGAGCACAACTTTTATCGATATTTGTTTTATTTACAATTGTTTCTTTTATTGGAATATTAATTGATATTGGACTCTGAAAACTGATGTAGGGAAGTGCAATTATCTTGAAACAGCTGGTAAGGTTGTAGTTTTCATGAGGGTGTTGTAACATTACACACAGAAACACACACACACACACACACACAATTACATACAAGTGATACAACTATTTACTCACACACTTAAACGCATATAAATAAATATTCTCAAATACGTACACACATAACAAATATACACACACACACACACACACACACACGGTACTAGAATCAAAGCCTGCAGCAGGATCCATCACAGAGGGGGTTGAGTGTTGACGTGGTGATCACTCAAGATAATGTGACTCACTGGCAACTCAGCACTGGGATGAAACTCGTGTCTTACTATAAATACCTTCCTTACCTTTGATAACTTATTATAAGAGAAAGTTTCCAGTTGATATTAATATTCAGTGTATCGCTGCCGTCAGTCGCCAGGTGGCAGGATACTGCAAGTGAGTTTACTACTTAACCTAAAACGTCTTTCAAACAATAAGGACATTATGGGGTTTTCTGTGTAGTATACTAAGTGTTATATTATGAACCATATCAGTATTAAAGGTGCCATTATTTAACCAGTATCTATCTCCGAGATGGAGTGAGATCAGCCAGACTCCTGGTTGACGCCACACCACTCCACCCCTCTACGATGAATCATTTCTGGACGTTCATCCTTTAGTGTGTGTGTTATGTCGGTTGGTTCTCTCTCTTTAACAACAACGTGTTATATTACGTGTCTTTCGTCTTGAAGAATTACCAGATGGAAACCATATTATGGCCGCTGTACAACTCGACCATCACGTCTCCTGTTTTGATTTATTCTAAGTGAATTCATTAATTACCTTTTACCTGACTCAAAGGTCCTTTCTCTCATTATTGTTTAGCTGTAGAAGACTTCAAGATGGGTCCTTGTTCATTATAAAAATAGCTCGCTGACGTCAAAGCCGACGCAAGCGTAGTGACGTCAAAGTTAACCATCAACACCATTTATTGATTCAGAGACGAATTACAAACACCCAATTAGTCAGGTTGTACAGAAGACACAGCAGTCACCTCTGTTACCTTCTGCGTCCACTGCAGGTGGGTGTTACTTGAAGGTCTTACTTGAAGGTGAAGACCGTGGGGTGGATCCTACTTGAGGGTGAGAACCATGGGGCAGATCTTAACCAAATGAAGGCCGTGAGCGGGTTTTACCTGAAGGTGAGAGCTCTGGGAGTGGTGGAAGCGGTGATAGTCTCACTGATGAGACAGGTGGTATCCTTCGGGTTTCCCTCCACCAAGACGGCCGCGTGGCTCCCCTCCTCTTCGTCTGTGATGAAGATAACGCGCAAGTGTGAAGGTTGGAGGAAAAAAATAGTGTGTGAGTGTGGTGGGGGTGCTAGGGATGGTTATACACTATCTCTTGTCCCTCCACCCGGACGAAGCCTGGTAACTCGCCCAATAAAGTAGAAACAATGGGTGGAGGATGTATCTCTGGGAAAGGAAAGGGACTGAGGAACAGGATATGGAAGGGGGGGGGGGAGCAGCGTGTGTAGAAAGTAGTCTTGGTTCAGTGTTTACAGCATCAATTTCGCTTCACTCTCATAAAAAAACCCGTTCACTGTAGATCCACAATTAGTACCAGGGATTATAATTAGAGTAGATTAATTAAAACGATCTTAGCAGGGGGCTTTCTGTCAATAAATCTAGTAAAGTCCGTAAAGTCTAAATGAAGCCTCTCCTTAATTACATCACTCTTGGCTGTCTCCATCATACAGGGGTCAATTTCACCTTTGTCTTGTACTTTTCAAACTAATTCTATTGTTTTCTTCCCTTGTCACTACCTCAGCTCTAACAAATGTAAAAACCCAACTGAAGACTTGTCCATACCTTCCTTTTGTCTGTGTTTGTTATTGTCAGAAAATGATTGAATTGTAGACGTGAGGGAGAAAACAATAATTCTCCCTTGCGTTGGTGTGATAAATCTCCCTGACTCTACATCACCAGGTGGCTAGGTTATGGTGTGTGTTAGGGTGAGGGAGGGAGTTTACTGTTATTTATGATCTTTGTAATTACTCTCTCCCTCCTGCTACTGGGCGTGGGTGAGTAATTGGGACGTAGAGTGGGTGATTGTGACGTAGAGTGGGGTGTTTGTGACGTAGAGTGGGGATGTTTGTGACGTAGAGTGGGGGTGTTTGTGACGTAGAGTGGGGGTGTTTGTGACGTAGAGTGGGGTGTTTGTGACGTAGATTGGGTGATTATGACGTAGAGAGTTTAGTGGGTAAATGACTGAATAAGGTAATAGGAGAGCAGGTGAGTGAATAAGAATAGGTGAATAGAAGAGAGTGTTTTGGAGGAGACAGGACCTACAAGCAAGATACCTTTATCGTACCTGCTTCTGTGACGCTATGTGCCTTCCTGAAACAAATTATAACGAAGTGAACATAGACTAAACACATATAAAATCACCTGATAAAAAGACGAATTTAATATTGAAAATGTTAAATCATCGTCCTGGTCTTCAAAGGATTACATAATTAATCTCAAAGGGTTAAACCAAAGTTCTCATCGAGTTAGACTATCATCCTCATAGGGTTAAAGCATAGTCCTTAAAGGGTTAAAATATAGTACTTAAAGGGTTAAATCATCGTCCTCAAAAATTTTAAACCATTGTCCTTAAAAGGTTAAACCATTTTCCTTAAAGGGTTAAACCATCGACATCAAAGGGTGAAAGAAAAACACTTGGATAAACTATTTGCTGACTCAATCTTTCCTCCGATTTTAGTTTAATTTTCACTCAGCTTGAACATGTCGTAACTGAGTGTAGTTATCCCGTAAGACATGATAGCGCTGAGAGAGGCGCCTCAGCAGTCAGGTAAAAGGAGGATTCAGGCGACTTAATACCTGGTGGAATAGGAGGAAACCCACCAAACGCTTCTTGGCTAATAATGACGGTGCCTTGAATTTGAGCGGAGAGGCAGTGTGGGGATGTATCTTGGTGTGGGAGGTAGTGTGGGGGTGTAACTTGGTGTGTAGGAGGTAGTGTGGGGGTGTAACTTGGTGTGTGGGAGGTAGTGTGGGGGTGTAACTTGGTGTGTGGGAGGTAGTGTGGGGGTGTAAATTGGTGTGTGGGAGGTGGTGTGGACGTACCTTGGTGAGGGCGGATGTACCAGACAGTGCCTCCGGTATACGAGACCTTCCAGGAGCAGAAGCCGGTATCGAAGGTGCAGGAGGGTCCGGCCGTACAGATGTCAGGTTGGAGGCTGACCTTTCGCACCTGCACGCCCCCGCTGGCCCCGTCTGTGCCTACGCCCACTGCTCGTAGAATCAGCTAATGAAGATGTAGGAAGCTTAGTGAAGGTTAAATATAGTCAGGGGATTCTGATTTGTTTTCACAAGACTTGGGTGATCCTGTTAATGCTGTATTAATCTTTATGTACAAGTTAGTTGATTCTTACCTCTATCATTATCTTCTTTCGCAGATGTTTCACCTATAGTTCATCTTTTATTTTATATTTCACTTCCTTTGAAGCTATATCTTACGACTTTCAAATACGAGTTTTATTTAAAAGTGACGAGAACCTGAACCCCACCCCGATCTTTTATTACTTTTCACGTCATGGTGGAATTATTGTGAATATCTTCTTTATGTCTTGATGAAACAAAAATAAGAAAATATCGAAGTGTTTTATAGATTATCTTAGTCTTGAGGGAGGACAGGTGGAGTACCTTACTCCCTCAAGATGTAAGTAATCACTCAACAGCTTTTATCTTTTGGTGTTTCTGTTTTTGGTGGTTATCGGCAGATTATATGAATCACTGGTTCTCTGCGGTAAGAAATATACACTTCATGTTATGAGAAGTTGATATTTAAAGAATCTTTCTCATAAACTTGGGGTGAAAAATTCTAAAGTTATATAATTACTGCAGCTATAAAATATACCTTTTGTCACTCTGCATTGAAACCCATCATTCAGGAGACCTTTAAGGCATTTTATAAGTTCACATGCTGGCATTATTACGTGAGTTAATTAGTGAACTTGTACGGAAGTCCTACATGTTAGCAAGTTACCTGGTACTGTGGTGGGAGTGTGTCAGGGAGGAGGTTGACAAAGGCCTCCATCACCCCAGGGCTCCCGACACGGCCCTGGGTCCATAGCACCTGTTCCTTCTCCTCCTCCTGGTGACCCTGGGAGTCCCTCATACGGTAGCCCTCCACAACTGCAGGCGCCACGCGACTCAGCACCACCCGTAACTCCGAGTTTGCTGACAGGAGGCGATAGTTGAGAGTCAGACACGCTCCTCCGCCGACGCCCGTCACCAGGGAGAGGCTTTCATCTCGATCAGTGTCTTCCAAACTATTTTCTGATAAACTGGGAGCACTGTGAGGTGTAAAGGTGATGTCTCCCTGGGTCACCACCGGGGAGATGAGATCAGCCCACTGTTGCTCATGCATGATGCTTCTGTTAACGTTACTGTTGGAGATGGTCTTGGTCCTGCTGTAGCTGAGTTTACTGCTCATGCTGCCACTACGTACCTCCGCCAGTATACCTTGTAGGGAGATAAGTGTACGATAAGGCTTTATAGTTCAGAGAGAGAGAGAGAGAGAGAGAGAGAGAGAGAGAAAGAGAGAGAGAGAGAGACGGTAGTAAGACAAAGGAGGAACGTCTTGATTCACTTTTTTACACATAAATACTATTAAGTGGAAGTAAATACCCGGTGTTCTACTAAGTGGTGGCAATAGTCTTGAGCAACATCAGAGTATAAAAGAATTTAAGTGGATATTTAATCATATTAGTTATGATAGGTTAGATTAGGTTAGATTAAGTTAAGTTAGGTTAGATTAGGTTAAGGTTAGGTTAAAGTTGTATAGATTAGGTTAAGGTTAGGTTAAAGTTGTATAGATTAGGTTGAGGTTAGGTTAAGTTTGGTTAGCTTATTATACCTTCATACGCGGGTCACGACGTTGTAAAAAAAAAGACAGTTAGATTTCTATTTTAAATTCCTTCATTTATAAACTTCCCACTTTCTTTTTACCATCTTATCCTGTCACTCTTCTCCAACTACCCCCACTCGCCCCGCTCCAAGGCATCCACTCCACAAAAAAGACTACTTTAGCGTAAGGGCGTTGAATCTCCAGGTGAAAGAAGCCATTTAAAATATATTCCCTTTTCTGTATCTCTTTTATATCATAGTGCGTCATTATATTCATCCTAAACGTCATTATCCTCACCTAGCATGTCATTATCCTTACCGTTCATGTCATTATTCTCACCTTTAATCATTATACTCACCGTTCATGTCATTATTCTTACCTGTCACATTCATGTCATTATCCTTACCTGTAACGTCATTATCCTCACCTGTCACGTCATTATCTTCACCTGTCACATTCATGCCATTATCCTCACCTGTCACGTCATTATCCTTACCTGTAACGTCATTATCCTCACCTGTCACGTCATTATCTTCACCTGTTACGCCATTAACCTCACCTGTCACATTCATGTCATTATCCTCACCTGTCACACCCCTCACCATAATCCATCTCAGTTAATCGGATGCTTTTGGCAATAATTCTAGTGTTACTGGTCTCTTAGTCTCAATACGAAGCTCAGGTGGGTGGGTGGGAGGGCGGGCGGGAGTCTCTCTTCCGGGTAAAGCCCCACAAATCTGAGCTCTCGTGTTTCTTTTCTCCCCTTTCATTACTCTAGTTTAAGCTCCGGTGAGTCTCCTGGCTTTCAGAACTCATTCCGACACCCCATGCCCTCAATCCGTCCATTCTATTTTAAAGGTGCAATGCAAATAGTGACGTTCTCATGTAGTTTCTCCATTTTCTATTCATTAATGGGGGTATTAGTGTAGAGTTTATTCAGGCAGTGTTTGTGCTGATGTTCGTGTTTGTTGTATGTTTTGATGGGTGGTATCTTAACGGATATACTGACACACGCGCACATACGCACACACGCACATAAACGAACGCACGCACGCGCACACACACACACACACGTATACCCCCCCCCCCTCACACACGCACATTTGTTGACATATATGATGAAATACTGTAATTAAAAAGATAACAGGTCGGACGCGGCCCCAGTTTACAATTTGAGTAATCCAATAGACTCTACAACGTTATTTGCATGTTAACAAACAGACTGTAATTTCAAGTCATATTAGGGGGGCGGGAATTCCACAGCAGTAAACTTGGGAGTGTTATTGACTGTTAAAACCAGTTAGTTCTCATCAAGTAGCGTCCTTATTGGCTAGTTCATGTTTTCTACCAGTCATTCCTCTTGTCTGAATGGCTGTTAATGTCTATACGGAAACAGACAGAACACATAACTCTAAGTCATCGTGGAAATGTATCCCAGATGTATTCAAAACGTTAAAAAAAATATAATCCTCTAATATTATAAACACGTTAAAATACCTTACAACACAGACCACGATTGAACACGTCTCCCAAACATTAATGTAAATGAATGAGTTTCTTTCCTTTCCTCCCTGGTGAACGAACTCGATATTGCTGTAAGCCTTCCCTGCCCCATGGAACAACGATGGAACCCAAGGAATCACAAGTCACTATTCACCACCTACACCCACCCACCCACTGTAGGCGTATCATGTTACCTACAGTGGGTGTATCATTTTACCTACAGTGGGTGTATCATGTTACCTACAGTGGGCGTATCATGTTACCTACAGTGGGTGTATCATGTTACCTACAGTGGGCGTATCATGTTACCTACAGTGGGCGTATCATTTTACCTACAGTGGGCGTATCATGTTACCTACAGTGGGCGTATCATGTTACCTACAGTGGGCGTATCATGCTACCTACAGTGGGCGTATCATGCTACCTACGCATAGTAAAAAAGTAAGTCCCCTTGCATTCAGGTTCGAAGTAAACAAGAAGGAAAGATAAAATGGAGTGGAATGAGTAACTTGTAATAATAAATAACTGGGATAAATAATAAAATGGAATAGAATAATAGTGGATTAGGGAAGACAATAAGTAAATGCGAAGGACTAGTTTACTACAGATGGACGATTAGATAAACTATGTTAGTAGAGACGACAAAAGAAAGAATATCAATCAGTCGAGTTTAAGCCATTGATGGGAGATATTTTCGTAGTCAATTGAGAACCTTTAATGAGGAGAAGTAAAAATAAGAATTAGAGGAGAATGTAAATAAGGTTTTATTAGCGTTTTCCTTTGGTTGAATCATCTTAAGTGTTCGGAGTGTTCGCATATGTTGAGACAATGTAAGTTCTCATGGCGATTCCTGTAAAATTTAACATCTAAAGGAAATAGCTAGGACGCCACAAAGGAGAGTTCTGTTTAAAAAAAAAATTAAGGAAAGAAATCACACGAGAAATGAGGAAGAAAAAACCTGGGGAAATTTTTTAGGTTCGTAGAGTGTAAAGAAGAGTGGTGAGGTAATGTATGATAATCTTCATTAATGGTGTGTGTGTGTGTGTGTGTGTGTGTGTGTGTGTGTGTGTGTGTCACTAAAGTCCAATACTCAGAACAAAGACACGCGCATCACGACAACACACCCACACAGACACTTTATATGCAAATACTCCTACAGTGGACTAAAATCCAGTCCTTTTATGACAAATTTTCCCCACCTGCTTCACACAAACACTGGTATTAATCACCATGTGCCTCACTTAATATATGTGCCGGGGGTAGGGGGTGTATGTGCCGGGGGGTGTATGCGCCAGGGGGTGTATGTGCCAAGGGGTGTATGTGCCAGGGGGTGTATGTTCCAAGGGGTGTATGCGCCGAAGGGAGAGGGGTGCCGGGAGGGGTGGTCGATGACGTAAACTGCGCTGAGGAGTCTGGGGTTAAATATCTAAATGGAAAGAATCTTAATAATTTGTTGTTTATGAAGCGTTGGAAAAACAAGCACTGGGATATTGTTTACCTATACTTTCATGTGTGTATGAGTGTGTGTGAATTTGTGTTCGTACTGGCATGTAAGTGGATGTGTGTATCTCTTTGTGCCACTGATCCACAGGGGTAATGCCACCTCTCCACGCACTATACTTTAACCATCCACCAGACTCATCCATCACCCACCAGAACAATTCAATATCCATCATCGACCAGAGGCTACCCATCATCCTACCTTCATCCGTCAGCAGCCAGTTCCTGTGGTCGCTATGAGTATTGGTCCAACCGCAGAAGTCGTGGGTGAAGGTGCAGGAGGTGGCAGTGAGGTTATCCAGCTCGCGGCCACACGATCCCTGGGTCACCTGCACGCCCGCCACTCCCGCCGTGTAGTGGGGGCCGTATCCGCGTTCATACTGCACCACAATCTGTACCGAGGATAACAGAGATTAATACATCGTGCTGAGTAAAACAGGTAGGAGAGCTTCGGTAATAACTACGGTACTCTCGCCGCAAAAAAAACGAAAAAAAACGGGTCATGACGGTACGCACCTGCCTCCTCCAGGGCAATATGTTACGTGATATCGACAATACAGAGAAAATAATGTCTAATTCGTCAACAGGTACACAAATTGGGAAGGCAGAACGATAACAGAAGAAGCTTGAGGTTTTAAAGAAGACAGGATGAGTGAAGTACAGATCTTGGGGTTACTGTCGACGGTGATGCCCTGTTAGAGGCGTTTGTGAGGCTGGATCCAGACAAGTGTAAGAGCGAGGGGAATGAATACAGGCAACAGGGGAATATTGTCATAAGATTTCGAGGATTTGGCCAATAATTATCATGCAGTTAGACCTGTAGGTCTACCATCCCCACAAAACATCCCTACATTTTAGTTAGTTCGTAAAAAAAAAGTCCTTATTACGTGTATTACGTTAGCGGCCTATCTTAAATACGACTGAATTTTCGGAGCCACAGTCAAATCAGTATCTTAATATATATATATATATATATATATATATATATATATATATATATATATATATATATATATATATATATATATATATATATATATATATATATATATATATATATATATATATATATATACACACACATATGGGGCGAGCACAAAATACCATAAACGTTAATTAAAGAAGTTTTACGACAGGCAAAGACAAAATAAAAAATAAATGTACAGGAACAATAAATGGTAGACGCCCTCTGAGGTGGAAAATATTTCATCATTAAGGTATCTATAGACTCACACGCATACCTCCAGCTCCATGGAATTGCAATTACATCCTCTCCCTTGTACTATATCAAGCTGGTCCATAGAGCCGAGGGGTGGTGGTGGTGGTGTCTCAGTCCACATACTATACAAGCCGGTGTTTGATGGTGACGGTGTTGTTACCGCCACAGTAAGATAAGCTAGAAGAGAGAAAGAGAGGGATAACCATAATAAGATAAACTAGGCGAGAGAGAGAGAGAGAGAGAGAGAGAGAGAGAGAGAGAGAGAGAGAGAGAGAGAGAGAGAGAGAGGGGGGGGGATGAGATGAGATAAGAGATATAGTGTTGACAACGAATTTGCTGACCAATCTGCTGAGGTGTTTCAATACGAAAACATATGGCCCTCGCCTCCGGGCTGAGATTGCCCTCGAGGGTAGTCAACTGATTTCTACAGGACAGACAACACGTTGGTTCAGACCACTAGACCCTAAAACGTGAGTGATCGTGAAGTATTAGAATCTGCTAAGAAACTCTAAATAACTTTAATAAGTATATTTGTGTACTGCAATTTGATCATATTATACCAATTGTCTCCTGTATCAATAGTTATAACATGCGAGTTATATTTAAGATGTTAACAGGCTATGTACTGTATATTGATTGTATTATTCATAATATGTGTCCTGAGATAACAGCATTTGTTATATGAGAAATGTTCTTTAACAGGTTTTGACCGAATTATATGGTACGCGTCAACGTTGAGGGTTTATTTCTCCAGCAACAAACCAATAACGCTCCTATGAGCGTTAACAGGTGTATACGAACTTGCCGCTAATAACTTATTGTTTCTAAACTCCAAATTCGCCAGAGTTAAATGCAGGTAAAAGTTCTTTGAATAAAACACTGTTTGAAATGTAACAGTTCTTATTAATTTACGATGATAAGATAAACAACCGTAGAAATGTTCGTCACATGAATTACGACGATTTTGGCGACTAATGTTAAGTTTTTCATTCCGGGTTATTAGGTTACTAATTGCAGCACATTCCAATTTGTGTATAAAGCGGGAAGCTAAAAATAAAGGTAGAGTTTTAACTGATAATCAAAGCCAAGCGTGAGGAGATTTTTATGACCTTTGGCAATATTCTTGTGGATGTCAATTGCTGGGAACTCTCGTAAAGTTAACGAACGACCGTTACCTTAAACATTTATATAAAAAAAAAATAAACGTTTTCTTTCCTTTGTTGGGAACTCGGTCGTCATTTCTGAGGTATACAACATACTCTACTACAGGTAGAGTGACTCACACCTGCTGACGGTAACGAGCTACACAGGTGTACGTCTCTTAAGAGTGGGTGCAAGAGTTGTGCAGGTCTTGCAAAGTGGTTACTGCCAGTGAGACGGACGGGCGGACGGACAGACAGCCTTGAAACAATGTCCCTGGTAGTTCAGTGGGAAAATCTATAAGCGCACATTGCTGTTCTCATTCCATCGTTCTTTTGTATTTTTCTTAATATGTTTTCGAGGATCAAATTGGCTATATACACATTTAAAAAAACACACACACGCTCATACACACGTTCTCTCTCTCTCTCACACACACACACACACACTCTCTCTCTCTCTCTCTCACACACACACACGCACGCTCATACACACATTCTCTCTCTCTCTCTCTCTCTCTCCTCTCACACACACACACACACACACACACACACACACACACACGCTCATACACATTCTCTCTCTCTCTCACACACACACACACACACACACACACACACACACACATAGTAAAACAACAAACATACCAACACGAACGTAGACATACTGACAAATACACTTATATACAAACACTCAAACGCCGACACACACACACACACACACACACACACGCACACACACACACAGCAGCACTGGAGGGGAGTGAGGGAGGAGGAGACAGAGGGAGGGGGAGGGGGTGGGAGAGGGGGAGAGAGTGGGAGGGAGGGGGGAGAGGTAGGAGGGAGAGGTGGGAGGGAGAGGGGGAGAGTGGGAGGGGGAGAGGGAGAGGGGGAGTGGAAGGGCGAGGGAGGTAGGGGGAGAGGAACGACAACAACAGCTATACAGAACCTTGGTGCCGCTGCTCCTTACAGTGAGGTTAACAAGGGGAGGCTGGTGGGATGCCTTCCGAGACGTTACTCCACCCACGGTCACCTAATGAGGGAGGAGAATGGTAAAGGGAGGGAGGGAGGGAGGTGCAGGAGGGGAGGGGAGGTAGTCAGGGGATATATTGAGGGAGGGATGGTAGGGTGGTAATGAGGGAGGGATGGTAGGGTGGTAATGAGGGAGGGTAGGGAGGAATGACGTGGGTGTAGGTATGAGGTGTTTTGAGACAGGTGATAACAATATATGATAAGATTTTCGTGTGTTTAGTCTCTCTGTATTTCCGATTTTTCTCCCTTTATTACCGATTTTTCTCCCTTTATTACAGATTTTTCTCCCTTTATTGCCGATTTTTCTCCCTTTATTACAGATTTTCTCCCTTTATTACCGATTTTTCTCCCTTTATTACCGATTTTTCTCCCTTTATTACCGACTTTTCTCCTTTTCTCTTGTCCTTCTAGTTATTACTATTTTCCTCTTGTTTTTATGCATTTAAAAAAAAATTCTATTAGTTTTGTCGTGATATTTTAACGCATTCCGATCTTCTTACTATTTCGCTTGACTGATTTACGCCTAGTGATGCTCTTCTTATGTAAGGTATCGAGATTCTACTACTCCAGTTAAAGTCATATTGTTAATTTGTACTGGTGAGAAATTGTAAGCCTGTTCGATTATTTTTCACCCACCAACCCACCTAAAACCCAACCCACCCACCCGCCCACTTACCCACCCATCTATACGTGTTGACGACCAATGTCCATCTGCTGCAGGTCTCATTAACTTAATTATTATCATCGCTTCTAATTTGTTGCCTGCCATGATATAAAGTGTGTGTGTGTGTGTGTGTGTGTGTGTGTGTGTGTGTGTGTGTGTGTGCCCGCAATCACAAGTCGTACCTATGAAGTGACTATTTCATTAAAGCATTTGATATTGTTATAATTACTTAATATAAAGTAGAAGATATGTACTATTTATAACAATTAAAAGTTATTATCACTCAATGTTAAAAAAAAAATAAAAATAAAGAACAAAAGACAATCGGTATTACATCAACAAATCGTCTATAATTTTTTTTTTGCTCCCACTGGACATATTTTATCCGTTATGCATAATTAACGGAGCCATAAAAGTTATGGGGAAAAAGTGACAAAAGACCTTCACCACCTTGTCTTTTGTTTCATTAATCTACGCCCTGGAAGGTCTTCTCCTGTCACTTTATAATGAATGTGATTAACACTCCGTCCACGACAGAAGACACGGCTGAGAAACAACACACAGACGACCAGAGAGAGAAACGATCACGAATTCTCCTTGAAACAGTGTGCCGAAGTCGGTAGTAAATATTCAATGTCACCAAAAGTTACCACGAACAGTAGCGGGAAGCCACACATTCTCAGACAATAATAATAAACTATTAAACCAAACCGGAATAAACCTAGAATCCTCAGGTTAGTTTAATTTAGCTTAGTTTAACTTAAGTTTACATCTTTTTCCTTTACAAATTAGTTGAGGTAAAGAGAAGAGTGGCCTCGTCACTGGTCGTGGTGATGGTGGAATCATCGCTCTTAAGTGGTGATATTGTGGGCGTGGGTTATGATGGGTTATAATAGGGTAGGAGGGGCACGGGGGTGAGGGGGAGGATGTGTGAGAGGGTGGCAGGGGAAGGAGGGTGAGGGGAGGGAGGAGGAGAGGCATGGAGAGGGAGGGGGGGTGGGAGGGGAGAGGAGGATGGATGGTAGGGAGGGTGAGGGGGAGGGGAGGAGATGATGGACAGGGGAGGGTGAGGGGAAGGAGAGGAAGGATGGTAGGGAGGGGCAGGGGGTGAGGGAGAGGAGAGGATGGATGGATGGGGAGGGGCAGGGGGGTGAGGGAGAGGAGAGGATGGATGGTAGGGAGGCAGGGGGGTGAGGGGAGGAGAGGAAGTGGTAGGAGGGTGAGGGGGAGGAAGAGGATGGTAGAAGGGGGGGGGGTGAGGGAGAGGAGAGGATGGATGGTAGGAGTGGCAGGGGTGGTGAGGGGAAGGATGAGAGAGGGTGGTAGGGGAAGGAGGGTGAGGGGGAGGAGGTGAGGGATGGTGGGAGGGGCAGGGGGTGAGGGGAGAGGAGAGGGATGGATGGTAGGGAGGGGCAGGGGGAGGGGAGGAGAGGATGGATGGTAGGAGGGGCAGGTGGGTGAGGAGAGAGAGGAAGTGGTAGGGAGGTGAGGGGGAGGGAGAGAATGGATGGTAGGAGGGGCAGGGGGGGTAGGGGGAGGAGAGGAAGTATGGTAGGGGAGGGTGGGGGAGGAGAGAATGGATGGTGGGAGGGGTAGGGGGTGAGGGGAGAGAGAAGTATGGTGGGAGGGTGGGGGGGAGGGAGAGAATGGATGGTAGGGAGGGGCAGGGGGTGGGGAGGGGGGAGGAGAGGGATGGATGGTAGGAGGGGCAGGGGGTGAGGGGGAGGAGAGGATGGATGGTAGGAGGGGCAGGGTGAGGGAGAGAGAGGAAGTAGGTAGGGAGGGTGGGAGGGGAGGAGAGAATGGATGGTAGGAGGGGCAGGTGGGTGAGAGAGAGGAGAGGATGGACGGTAGGAGGGGCAGGTGGGTGAGGGGGAGGAGAGGATGGATGGTAGGAGGGGCAGGTGGGTGAGAGAGAGGAGAGGAAGGATGGTAGGAGGGGCAGCAGGATTCATGGTGCTGGGAGACCTGATTGTGTTCCCTACTCAAAAGTTCTCTCTTTGATTTAATGGCCAATTATCTGTCTTCCTTATCCTTGGTCAAATCTTCTGTCGTAAGAGTCGTAATTGACGTCCTCAAGGGGATTGTTTTCGAGTCCAAGAGATTGCCGAGCGTTGTGGGTAAACAAACATAAAATAACATCAGGTGATATTTTTATCGTCTGTTATGGACGAGACAAGCCGCTGCCTTGAGGATATTTATTTTCACTCTTACGTAAAGGATCAGTCAACGCCGTAAATAATGTGAGAAAAATGCGTATATTTAACACGTTAGTTCTGGGGAGAGTTACAAGAGTTAACAAGTACTGGTCATTGGCTGTGGCAAACTGCACTTAAAAACAAAAACATTCTCAAGAGCAAAAAACATCCACCAGTTGGTCAGGAAAGGCTAACTCTATACGAGCAAATAATTGGTTTAAAACGTAAAGGAAAAACAATAAACATGAGAACTGCAGGAAAAATTAACAAAGAAATAAAATTATAAATGAATAATATTCATAATCCCGAATATTATCTATAAACAAGTAAATAATGCATATAATAGATCAATAATTATTACAATTAGGAAATGAAAACAACAAAATGCTATTAAGAGAAAAAGAAGAATGTATAAAAGTATTCCTAAAAATAAAATAAAACAAGAATAAAGCCGCGCCGCCAACACCAAGTCGTCACCGCTGCCTCACTCACCTTACACACAGAATAAAGTCACCCACGGCAGCCTGACCCACAGTACCAAATGATGGCTGGAAGTGAAGGGCAGAAAAGAAAGATGATGAATTTCCTAAAAAAAAAAAATGGAGTAAAGTGAAGGGAAGTGGTCCCATAATGAGGTCTTTCAGCGAGGCGACAACCCCAGACGGTAGAGGTCTTTGAGGAGTGGTTGGAGGTGGAGAGTTGGCAGGGGAGAATTGTGAGAGAAATAAAAGGAGGGAAGGATAAAGGAAAACCAAAAGAAAGGAAGCAACTAACGAGTCTTAACAGCTCCCGCAGATTGTACCAATTTGGAATCGATCTTACCTGAAGGTGGACCTACTCGAAGGTGCGCCTACCTGAAGGTGTACCTACTTGAAGGTGCACCTGAAAGTGAGTGTATCTGGATGTGTGTCTCCCTGAATGTAGATTCACTTGGAGTCGTAATTCCCCGAGGAGTGCATTTGCCTGAAAAACAAAACAGATTTACCTGAAGAGTAAGACGAACCTTAAATCGTGAGCTGACGGTGAAGTTGACGGCTGTAGTGAGGGACCTGTTACCATGGGGACCATAGAGGAGGAAGAGCGCTGACGGAGGTGAATGACTCTCATCCTTCTCCTGCATCACCCTCGTCGACAGCAGGAAGGCGTCTGGCCCGTCCAACAGGTAGTCCAAACGCAGACACATGGCCACTCCTTCTGCTAAACTATTATCTGTGGGGAGGAGGAACTCATTTGAGGTCTTCCTACTGACGGGAGGAAGGATTACAGGTAAGGGAAGGTATGATGTGACCTCTTGAACTGTTAACCATTGGAGAGAGTCGGTAGGAATGTATAGAACCTGGGGAGTGCTCTGGCAGTACTAGTTAACAAGGAGGCACAGGTAATATTGTAGTGTTAATTGTGTAGACAGGTGTGTGTGTGTGTGTGTATATACGTGGGTGTGGAGGGATGCGTTTGTCTGTTGATATCTTTCTTTTTATCCCGTTAGTCTCTCCTCATCGGCGCCTACGGGTTGGTCACAGAGGAACGGTGAAAAAGAGAATTTTCATGGGAAGTTTTTGTACAACATTGGGGTCTGGATGAGTGACGATCGAGCCATCTAAATTTCAACAAAAATCAGTAAATTTTTCATGGGAAACGTCGGCATTGTGGACATGTGTTGTGTGGGTGCTGGTGGAGGTAGAAAATAGTTGTTAGTGTGGGTAGTGGTGGTGGTTGAATGGTTGTTGTGTGGGTGTTGGTTGTGGTAGAAAATAGTTGTTAGTGTGGGTAGAGGTGGTGGTTGAATGGTTGTTGTGTGGGTGTTGGTAGTGGTAGAAAATAGTTGTTAGTGTGGGTAGTGGTGGTGGTTGAATGGTTGTTGTGTGGGTGTTGGTAGTGGTAGAAAATAGTTGTTAGTGTGGGTAGTGGTGGTGGTTGAATGGTTGTTGTGTGGGTGTTGGTAGTGGTAGAAAATAGTTGTTAGTGTGGGTAGTGGTGGTGGTTGAATGGTTGTTGTGTGGGTGTTGGTAGTGGTAGAAAATAGTTGTTAGTGTGGGTAGTGGTGGTGGTTGAATGGTTGTTGTGTGGGTGTTGGTGGTGATGGTAATGGTGATGATGATGGGAAAAGTTAGTTGCTGTACTGTATGTATGGTGACGACGACAATGGTGATAATGGTGTGTGTGTGTGTGTGTGTGTGTGAGTGAGGTAATGCATAATAATGAACTTTAAGAGAGGCTGGAAAACACCTGTGAATAGAAATAATAATAATAATAATAATAATAATAATAATAATAATAATAATAATAATAATAATAATAATAATAATAATAAAATCTAATACAAAACAATAAATGAAAAATATGAAAAAAAAGAAGCACGACTTAATAATAAAATTTCAATTAAAGAAAGTGAATAAATCTTACCAGTTGGTGATTTAACTTTAACGAGTTGAGAGAGAGAGAGAGAGAGAGAGAGAGAGAGTTCAAAAGTAAATTACTGAAATCAAGAAGAGTCAAAAGGATCGTGAGAAACAATAAGTAAAAGGTGTTAAAGATTCCGCCCTCTGTAATTATGTTGTATTGTCCCTGTAATTTAAGACTGTATTCATAAATGTGGTGTTTGAGATTTGTAATTTCAGTCAGGTGATATTCGACTACGTGACAATGGTCAGGTCACGCGATAGACTTTGTGTCTTGTTTAAGGTCAAAGCTTTTAACCCCTGGAGTACGATGGCAGTGTATTCAGGAGATTAAGTCATTGTAGTTAATGGTGTTAAGTCATTGTAGTCAAAGAGTTAATACACCTTACCCAATCAAAACTTAACCAATGTCAATATACTTCAATAAAGACTTTTTGACATATTACTTATATTTTAGGCAAGTGTTTGGGAAATTTCTAAATACGTCTTCATTAAATAATAACAATGTAACACGTGTGGAAGAGTCTTATAAATATTTTCTTTTGGTTCGTTTTTCTTTTCCATTTTAAGATTGTACGATATTCAGATTATTTCACTAATATAATTGGTTAAAATATGAAAATAATGGCAGGGTATAATAAGGGAACACACACACACACACACACACACACACACACACATACACATACACACACACACACACACACACACCAACAATGAATCACTGATATGGCCACATTATTTTCCAAAACACTATGTTGGTATAAGTGTGTTAGTATATATCAGGGAAATACTCCAGACTGACTCTATTCACTGATAAACCATAGAAATATCTGGCTATATTTTGTGAATAATATAAGCTCTTTGTATCATTAATAATGTCAATACTATAGATGGTGTTTGAGGATTCACAATGTTACTATATAGCCATTAGATGTCACAATGTTACTATATAGCCATTAGATGTCACAATGTTACTATATAGCCAGTAGACGTCACAATGTTACTATATAGCCAGTGGACGTCACAATGTTACTATATAGCCATTAGACGTCACAATGTTACTATATAGCCAGTAGACGTCACAATGTTACTATATAGCCAGTGGACGTCACAATGTTACTATATAGCCAATTGGACGTCACAATGTTACTATATAGCCAGTGGACGTCACAATGTTACTATATAGCCAGTAGACGTCACAATGTTACTATATAGCCATTAGACGTCACAATGTTACTATATAGCCAGTAGACGTCACAATGTTACTATATAGCCATTAGACGTCACAATGTTACTATATAGCCATTAGACGTCACAATGTTACTATATAGCCATTAGACGTCACAATGCTACTATATAGCCATTAGACGTCACAATGTTACTATATAGCCAGTAGACGTCACAATGTTACTATATAGCCATTAGACGTCACAATGTTACTATATAGCCAGTAGACGTCACAATGTTACTATATAGCCAGTAGACGTCACAATGTTACTATATAGCCATTAGACGTCACACTGTTAATATATAGCCAGTAGACGTCAGTAAAATCAGTCATCAACATAACAACAAGAGGCTGGGGACGATGCTAAATGACCTCGATTTGTTGCAGGTGGTTCGTCATCAATAGTTGGTTATTACAGCGTGGTGGCGTTGCATCACCCCCCTCCCACTCCCTCCCTCCCTCCCCCAGGACCCTCTCCCTCCCCCATCACCCTCTTCCCTCCCCCATCACCCCCCACCCCCACTCTCCAGACCCGTGTTGATGGTAGCAGTTTGTCATTTGTATTGCGTCAGCGGTATCTTAGTCGACCTTCTCTCGGTAGTGAAAGAGCAGGGTGTATGGTGGTATATGGTGGTGTCTGGTGTTGTATGGTGGTATATGGTGGTGTATGGTGGTATATGGTGGTGTCTGGTGGTGTATGGTGGTATATGGTAGTGTATGGTGGTATATGGTGGTGTCTGGTGGTGTCTAGTTACATCACGTTTTTGTCCGTCAGTGACCTAGGGGGAGGTAAGGACAGTCCTATAGCCCTGACCCTGACTTACCTACGGCAGGGGTGATCCAGGGGGAGGTGAGGATGGCCCTGTAGCCTCGGGGCAGCTGTAGGCCGGCACCCGTCTCCTCCGCCACCACCATCCTGTTCTTCAAACCTGAAAACATAATGAGATAATCAGTAGCATATATTTCAGTGTGTCGGCTGAGGTGTGACACAGGTACACAAATGTGACCATATACATAAGGATTACTATCACTACAAGAACTATTACTAACAATGATGACAAAAACAAACAATGGTTATAAATACAATAGGGTTAATATTACTGTTAATGATGATGATGATTATGATAAAAATACCCAAAATGATGATGATGATGATGATGATGATGACGACGACAAGAGTGTGAACCAGAGGAAGGTATCAGACTGGCAAGGTGTTCGACGTAGTTTCCCCTATATAACGCACGTGAAGTTCTCCCTCATTTGCCTTCATTATCGGAGTAGAAATTAGTCACGACGCTCCCTTGGTTCCTCAGGCGGTATGTAATGTAATTAGGCCTTTGGGTGAGGTGAGTGAATGGCTGGAAGACAAGAAAATCGATCCTCTTCCTCGGGCGTCACATTGGGAAGTTTATGGTGTGTTTGTGAGCTTAAAACGTTTGAGCCTTTTACTCAAATGTTATGTCTGATAGTTGGGAAGGGAGGGGAGGGGAGAGAAGAGAGGGGAGGGGAAAGAAGAGGAGGGGAGGGGAGGCATAATGAAGATGGGGAAGAGAGAAAACACAAAAAATGAGATAAATGATTTTCTGGTGATATAGTGATGTTGGTTTCAATCAAATAAAAACAAAAATCCAGTAATACAAGAACCAGAATATAAGAATAATAAAATAAAGGAAATGATCCATAAGTTAATGATGCTTTTGTTTTATCCGAATTCAACCTCTGGAGACGGTGGCAAGGAACCCGGGGGTGTGACTAACATATAGCGGGATCCTACGGCCACTTATCTGTGAAGGTGGGAGGGAAAGTTAAAGGAGGTGTAGGAGAGGCAGAGATCACTTGTGTGTGTGCGCGCATGAGTGGTCTTCCTGGTATTCAGAAGGCCTCCGTGCGCCTCCCCTTGTTTTGCTGCAACAACCCAGCTTAAGGGATGAGTCTGGATATATTGGCTGTGTGTAGGTAGATAGGTTATGTACATATACAAACAAGTGAAGTTCAGGGAGAGAACACATTATGATCCCTGGTAAATAAAGATCCTCCACCACCACCGCCATCGTTCATCCTTTCATCAACACAAAAAATCCATTTATATGGTCTGTTAAGGCTTCCAGTGTTGCCAGGACTGGTGGGTGTGTTGAGCCTCCCAGTGTTACAGGGTGCATTGTGTTGTAAGTAATCGTAATATACATCAATATATACTAAAACTGAATCCTGACACTGTATACTATGACCTTAACACAAATCATCATCATCATCATCATCGTCATTACATAAGAACAGCAACAGTCATCCTCTACAATACAACTATCAAACTTCTCCATCATTATGTTAATCACAATTATGTTCCGCCTCATTAACTAACATCACAATAATATATCTGTAACAATAGCTAGTGGTCCTACTCATCAACATCATCACTGACACCGCTGCGAAATGGACTTGGTTTCAACTTGAAGTCATTCATATATTGACACTTTGAGCTTACGAGTCCTTTGTTAGGTGTGGGGGTTAGGCTACAGTTTCACCACATTTCTTCGTGAGTATAGAGGAGGATCGTCTTTTCGTGACGTGAGAATCCAGCGTTGTCTGTTCCTCGTTCAAGTTCTGCAGAGGCGAATTTACTTTATTTTTCATTCTGTTTTCCTCTTTTTCTCGATATATATATTTCTAGATTTTTTAACGGGCAATTGTCAGAATATATATATATATATATATATATATATATATATATATATATATATATATATATATATATATATATATATATATATATATACAAAAGTGTCTCTACAGTGAATGAAACCTAAAACTTTACGTGACACAACCAATATCTGCAACAGACAGGGACCCGTACCACGGACCTCACTGCCTCTCCGCGTTGTGGTAAAAAAAAAATTAAACGCGTCACTGTATTTTGTTCACCACAAACAGTTAGCTGCCAATGAATCTGAATTGTGTTGGTCCATTTGCTGTTACATTACATTCACTGTGGTTTCATCGTCACGCGGGGATTATGGGTAAAGTAACAAATAGCGGCAGAGCTTTGCAGTGTGGATTAAAGCTGATGGGGATTTAGAGGGAAAGTTTACATTGCCTTTATAGCTTCCTGGCCACAGGACAGCCGACGCTTGTCTAAACACTGAGACCAGAAAATGTTGGATCCTGGTGGGACGATGTTGGTAGCTGAATTTTTGACTGGGTAATTATTGTTTATTAAAGAATCGTGGCGTGTTTTAAAATACACTAACACAAACACATAAAGGCACAGAAATAGACATAAACAAACAGGCAAGAACACTGTTCGTTTTATTCTCTTTTCACGAGCTGAATATTAACGAACACCAACATGTAGGATCACTGTACTTACTTAATGTGCTTGAGGGTGTTCCCTTGCCTATGGACAATAATGTCTCGGAACGGTGAGGTACAAACTTATTTTTTCTTACTTCAATGCTAAAAGTTACTGAATGGAGTAAAGTGCTCGGGCAGGGAAGGAAGGTCTCCCGTATTTTACTGGTAGCCCTGAAGCAGGTGACGTCATCCACGTATCTATACAATTTACTTTTGGTAGAAAAAAATCAGACCATTCAGATGTCAAAGATTTCCACATATATGATATTGAGCAACATAAACAGTGGACTTTCCATCAATAGTTTAAGTTTCAGTCTTAAGGCAGAGTTTGATCAATTCAGTAATAGTGAAAGTCGTGAGAAGTGTTTGGGAAGAACAGTGAACAGTAAACCCAGCCATTACTCCAGAGTGTTAGAGTAAAGATGGATGTGGTCAACTTACTTCACTCAGTGGTTGCTCCTTGACCTCACCACCGTGTGCATGAACTGACACTCCTCACTTGTTACCTAAATGGACTGTTGTTCATCGTGTGCTCACCCATTTAACGTCTTGATACTGTGATCATATCACTAAGAACACACACACACACACACACACACACCTAAGAACATAAGAATGGAGGCAACTGCAGCGGGCCTATTGGCCCAAGCTAGACAATCCCGTTAACACCCAACCCATATTTGAAGCTTCCCAGTATATAAATCACTGTAGGTGCGCGTGATCCATGTATACTGTCTGCTAATAACCACAAAAGATAAAGAAAACACGAAGTTCCCAAACGCTTTCGTGTAATTCACATCTTCAGGGGTGAGTACAGACTAACTGTACTATGGAGTAGAAATTGACTGTAAATTGTCATTCCTAGACTGTATGATCCACAGAGTAGGTGAAACCCTTAAGTCCAGTATTTGCATATATCTATATATACAGTATATATACAAACATACATACATAAAGCGTGTGTATGTCTATAATAAAAATATCTAAAAATCCCTCTATAAAAATCATTGCAGTTCAGTTTAGTTTTAAGCACGAGCAATACTTTTATGCTACGATGCCATTTTTCAGGCGTGACGCGTGTGGCCAGCGTAAAAATAACAACTGAAATAAAATATGACGAGTGTGGGACTAGTGCGCCGCCGTCCATTATTATTAATGTTATACCTTTATGTAAAATGTGATAAAATGTTATTCTATGTGACCTTTAGAGGCGTGTGGCACTAGTGGCAGCAGCAGCCTCCATGATTCATTGTGCCTGGCCCTTATTAGTGACCCCCTGACACCTCACATGTTGAAGGGAATGATGAATGGTTGCGTCACGTCTGCTACTCTACCGAATTTAATAAGAAAACTATGATGGTCAGATACTCGAGAGATTGTGAGTAATTAAGAGTCATTATTATCTATGGTCTCGTTAGAGTTTTTAAGGTACTAATTTACCCTACCGGAAATAAGCATCTGATGGCTTCATTGGCTGTCCTTGGTTAAAAATACCTTACTGTTTACCGCAGTTTGTATACCTGTATGGTCTATGTACAATGTATATCTGCGTTGTCTATAAGCATGCTGAACTGTGTGTGTGTGTGTGTGCGTGTGTGTGTGTGTTTGGCAGGTCATGGATGTTAGTCTCCCCCCCTCCCCCCCCTCTCACTTTCCGCATCACACACAGTTCGGTCACCGAGTTGCCAGCACTACTTCGTCACGTTCTAGCACCCTCTGGCTTCCACGCAGCACTCTTTTGACCCCCCTGACACCCCCTTCCCTTTTCTAAGAATAAGTTACCATTCCGAGTCTCCCACCATTAACTTTACTCTCCTTCAGTGTTGTGTTGTGGTACGTATAATTCCTTTTGTTTTCCTCCTCTTCCCCTATACAGTTTTTATTTGTTATTGTTTTTGTGTTTATCAAGTATCTCTTCATGATATCTATTGCTTATAAACGTCTCAACCACTTCATCGCAACTTTTTAGAATAGATTAGATTATGTTTTCAGTTAATTTTGTTTTGCTTCATGTGGTTTTTTTTACTTACACGAATGATAAAGTTTTGTTGTTGTTTATTATTATTATTATTATATTTTTTGAGGAAGTTTCTATGAGATTTAGTCCCTCGTATTCCCACACTTTCACTCTCTTCGTTATCCCTTTCTTTCTTTCTCTTTTGTCACCGATACTTTTTCTTTTTCCTTTTTTTAGCTCCATTTCACTCTTACGCATTCCATAAATCTCCACCCCACCCCGTCTCTCTCTCTCTCTCTCTCTCTCTCTCTCTCTCTCTCTCCTCTTCCCAATTCTTGATTCTCTTTTTTTCACTTTCCTTTCCATTTACCTTCGTTTTTTTCTCTCCCTTTCTCCACCAAGTTCCCGCATACAGTCAAAAGATATCTGTTTACTTTCTTCTCATCGCTGGGAATAATTCCTGGGTAGTGGTCAGACCTTACGGTGAGAATAACAGAATACAGAGGACAGCTGTACGTGAGTGAGTCTGTGGTATTGAGAGTTGTGAACATGTATGTATGTATGTATGTATGTATGTATGTATGTATGTATGTATGTATGAGAGAGTCCACGAAAATTCAGGAT